TTACCTTTGATGCAAATGAAACAATATCTCCCAAAAGTATATGATACACAGTTTGAATACATATTGCTTGTGGGTTCTACTTAGATATTAGATATGATATTTCACCACACAGCTACGTATGCATAAAATAACATTTATCAACTATTATTCAAAACAACTCTGAAAATTTTGGAATGAAATTTTTGCAATCTATATATTTATATTGGATTTTTCTATCTGTGGTAAATCATTTGTTTTGTGTTAGGGATGAAATGCTTACTGGTTTGAGGATTTTATCACTACAAATATTATTGTGTGTCAGGGATGAAATGTAAAAAAGGAATCCTTTCATGTTGTACTATACCTTTTATTGATATTTTGTATCTTACAGGCTGTCACAGTGGCCAAGAGTGGAGACACTGGAACTTCAGTATAGGACAAAACATTTTGCCATAAACTCTTACACTCCAAGAAAAAAGAAGTATGTGGATTATTTAGGATGGTGTATTTTCCAAGAACCCAGTTGCCAAAAACTCAGTAGACTGATCAAGCTAGGACATAAAACAAACACCAGTGTAAAATATATAAAGATATATTATTATATCAAGTCAAGCTATGAACACGGCTTAAAAGATATCCATATCAGAGATAATCTTGTCCATGTAGCATGTCTATCACTGCAATGTTATAAATTGCATTAGAATTTATTATATAATGTGAGAGACTGTATCCATAGAAACAAGTCTACACGTAGTCCAGTAGTCTAGTTTTTATGTTCAATGTAACTGTTTATGTAGCTTTGACTTGATGAAATTGTAGATGTGGAGACATAGAGGACACCAAAAGTAAATGGCTGCTTTTCACGCTGTAGAAAAATGCAAAAGATTCACATTGTAAAAGGATGTCAGCTTGTGCTGCTATTATGTTGAAGTGGTTCCATTTTTTGGAGAAAATGGTAAACAAATTATTTATTCATGTTGTGTTACCAATCAGCATCACTTGATGATGGGATTGGAAGTTGTATTTATTTTGCAAATTACTTAATTTGAATATACATTGAAATATTGTATCTGGCTAGATCTGGAAAGGAGTACAGTCTAGTATTTTTGACATTTTATTTCATTTCATGAATTATTTATTTATTCAAAATTTTGCAAAGGGTTATTTTCAGGTACTTATCATTTAGTTTTGAAAAAAGTGAACTTTTATTGCTGTAGTTATATTAGTATTGGAATGATAAAGAGGAATTATAAATGGCTTTCCACTCTGCTGTGACCATACTTGAAACATTAAAGATTATTGCTATGATCCCTGTTGCTTTATATGATCCCTGTTGTTTTAGTTAGTTTATACCGGACCAATACGTATACTGTGAAATTCTTTGTGCTGCTGCTGTCGTGGGGACAAACCAACAGGTGTACGGTGCATCGTTTGCTTACCATTACGTTATAAAAATACTGTAGTAGATAATTGCTTACACGTATGACTGTATTAATTGTGCAATATACTCCCAAATAAGCCAGGCAACTTTGAAGGTGCTATGACGGTAATAATTGTTGAAAAAAGGGAAATGTGAAAGCTTAAAGATTACACCACTGCCGTAACTCCAAAATGTAAAGGAACGGATGTGAAGTATTTTGTCTTTGACGTTTGTCTGATCACTTAGTCTCATATACAAAACGTATGTACAGTGAAGCATGGTATACTGATTATAAAAAATTGATTTATAATGTTATTATCGGTATTTCCTGTCCATTATTTTTTAGTATATATATAAGCTTTCTTAGCTGAACTAATGAAGAAGAAAACGAGGGATTACGTTACGACAGCACGTGTTTAACGCCACGTTAATTTTGGAGTCGTATCCCTATAGAAGGCCATCAGTTTATGCAACGTGTGTATTCATTTAGCTGTGATTTTAACATATAGTTCAGAAAAGGCCCACCTGGAAAGCCACTTGTCATGGGGCAGCGTGATCGGTTTTCAATAAAGAGCTGCCAGTTGAACTTCTGTGTTATTGTTATTTATTTTCGTCTAGTAGAAAACACTAAAAAAATGCCCTAAGGTATTTTCACAAAAGCGAGCCACTACGCGACAGTGAGAGGATCTGGAGTTGAAAGAGGACGCCTATAATAGGGCATTTTACGCAGTTTATTAATCAAGTTTTGTGTGTTATTCTGTACTCAATTACTTCACTCTTTATTTCGGTAAAAATGAAATAGATTTAGAAAAAAATTACTCGCAGTTTTTCAGTTATTTATCCATTATCTAATCTTCCTATTATCACGACACATAATATCGAAGCGTTTTAATGAAAAAATATAATATAATAAAAATTCCTCTGTGCAGTTTATCTTGTCGCTGTTTGATGTAATGTGAATTTTCTTCTGGTGTTTTATAAATGTATAGGCCAAGCCTGTTTCAGAACGCCTTTGTGAAGTAGTGCACAATGTAAATGATTGGCGATTTGTTCTATCAAGGAAAAGGGGGGAAAATAAGAAAACAAATCGTGGTATCCAAAATTTAAACAATAGTGCTCTATTAAGTTGAATTGCAAAAAAAAAAAGGATGCTTCGCTCTTACTCCTGACTCGCGTATAAATTTTTGTTTATTTAGCACACACTTACTCGACTTTGCCAACGGCATGACCTAGTTAAAGAGCACTCAACACGTTTCAGACGACGGCGTCTATTCATTTCCACGTAGGTATATGATGCGGGTTTCGTACTCAGCATGTTTCACCGTCACTGATGCTTACTTGTTCTAGTTTTAGCACTTGGCCTAAGATACTGAAAGGAGCGAACTTCCCAGGTCATCACTGGTGCCAGCCAAAAAGTGTGGTTAGTATATACTGTACCCTATGTACAGCCGTATGTCAAGTCGTTCAAAAGTGAAGTCAAACTAACTTACTCTTGCAGTAGTTCCTTGTGTATCAGTAATAATTAAAGAGCACGTTTGTACTTGTTTCCAACATACAGACAGAAATTGTAGCTATTTCTGCGCCGTAGGATGGAGAAGGTTATTCAATTTGATGTACGTTTTCGTCTAGTTTTTCGCACGTCCATCAGCCTCAGCTAAGCTGTTTATAAAATCAGTGCACAAACCTTCTCGGGCAATGCAGTCAATTTCGGTCAGCAGACTTGACCTTCTTTACATGTACTGTTTTTACAGTGCTCCAACCCCTCCTGCCACGTCATGAGCGGTTAAAGCAATAATAGGCCCCATTCAGAATAGGGGACTAACTAGTCCGAGGGTCAAATATGGCGACCTACTACAAAGCTTGCCGTTAATAGACTCTGAATAGATATCCTGTGAGGTAGTATTCATTTGGGTCGGCCATATTTGACCTTCGGACTAGTTAGTCCCCTATTCTGAATGGGGCCATACAAGCCAGCAAGCGTGGTTTGATACCTTTCTCGCGCGACGGGAAAAAGATTCCCGTATTGACAAAACCACAAACAACACATTCTAAACTATTCTAAACTACTTCTACTTCTTAACAGAGGACTGTAACTTGGACCCAGTTTCGCCACACCGGCGCAGTGATGGCTTTAGCAAAAATCAAACATATATAGAAGCAGATTCCTCATTGACTTATTATTTTGAAAAAATATTCTGAAGCTGTTATTTAAAATAGAAAGATAATTATTTCAACATTCACCATTAAGTACAAACACACCTGTCAAAAGTTTTTATCTACAAGAAATCAAACACGACCGAAACAGTTATATTTGCCATTGCCAACACCCCCCCCCCTCCCCACCACCACCACCCCATATAAACACCTTCCTAATCATACCTTCAAAACGCAATTTTTGACAATCAGCAGTTTTCTTTATGATTATAGGTGGATTCACAACATCGACAAGGAAAATGGGCTTACTTCGCATGTTGTATACAATTTTTGCGGACATCTATTGGTTTCCTTGGGTTATGACAGATTTTAAGAATATGCTTTATCGCTATTGGCAAGGAAAACTTCCCAAGTCATGTGAGTTTACAGACTGCGAAGGAAACACGGTATCTTTGACAGAGTTCAATGGAGTTACCTTTGATAGGTCATTTCTAGGACTACAGGACGCTGTAGAAAATCCTAATCACTTTCAAGCAAGAGAGGATGATATATGGGTGGTTAACTGGCCCAAATCGGGTAATTCTTTCTTCTTTCCTTTATCAAGTTGCGTTGAAATGCTAAAATTTGTATAGGGTACGGGGGACGAAAAGGTCTACTTCATTAGGTGATTTCATTTTTTTAAAGTTAATCGAACGCACTTATGGATGTTATCGGTTTAGACAATTCTATCAACAATATGCAAAATGTTCGTACAAGTCACAAGTTACAGGAAAAGTCAGTGGGATGCATGGATTTTTAGTCCTTATTCATTTAAAAAGCAATTAAAGCAATAAAATTATTGTAGCCATGTATTAGTAACATTAAGTATTTCAGGTCTTAAAGATAAATATCTATTACTAATGTATTTGATATTTTAGGAACTCACTGGTTGTGGGAGATCATCATGATGTTAACCAGTGACAAACCTCAACTCTCTTCTCGTGTCAAAGAAGAATGCATGTTTGAATTGCGACCCGGCAACGCCCTTGATGCCATGCCCTCGCCGCGCGTTCTCGACACCCATGTGCCTTATCAGTTTTTCCCTAAACAAGCCTTGTCTAAATCTAAAGTGCTGTACAGCGTCCGACATCCAAAAGATGCTGCCGTATCTCTGTATTATCACATGCGGAACATAGAAGATTACTCGTATTTAGGAACTTGGAACGGATTTTTCTCGTTGTTTATGGAAAACAAAGGTAATATAGTCATCTGTGTCTAGCAAAATCTTCTAAGGAGCAGCTTGGCGAAAAATTAAATTTTACGTATTAAATATTAACCAAACTTACTTTTAAAAATAAACCACTAAAAGCAGATATTAACAAAGGACGATCAAACATAAACACGTACAGTTTTTGTGGTCTGATAATATTAAATTTAATTCAGTATAATTCAAGTGGGATGTTTGTATTTTAATTTGTAAGTCCATTTTTGCTGTTGACCTGGTTTGTAGTAAAGTAATTATTTTCAGAAAAGGTAGATAGCGCTAAATGTTTGATTTTATGTTTCTATTTATTTATTTATAAAGTCGATATTCTTTAGGGTAACATTAAGTTTTAACAAATGTATTTCAGTCGAATGTGGCAGTTGGTTTGATCACGTCGAGGGATGGTTGGAAATTATTGAAAACCACTCCAATGTTCAACTGGTCAAGTTCGAAGATTTGAAAGAGGTACGTATGGTACTCAATTCCGTTAAAAATTATTTTATCCGTTGTCCTCGATCAAGTTTTAAATAGAAAAGGTAGTTATACATGAAATTTCAACAAGAATTTTCAACTAAAATCCGTACTTTATCCTCACAGTCACTTAACTAAGTCTCGATGGGTTTCAGGTCGCTGTCAAGTATACGGCAGCAACCTTAATTTTTCATCCTAGCGTTATACCTCCCCAAGTTCACAAATCTTACAAGTGATGGTCAGACCAAAACTTTCATTCTGCATAGAAACCAGAGAGTTAAGTACATGTATACACTGATGTTTACACTAATTATTCATAAGATGTTTGAAAACTATTCAATTTTCAGGATTTGACTAGGGAGATAAAACGTGTAGCAGAGTTTATCGGGTATCCAAAGTCAGATGAGTTTTACGCCGAGGTTGCGAAGCAGTGCTCCTTTGAGAATATGAAAAAGAACAAAACCGATATGTTGAGTGGATGGCGACCTAAAAGCGATGGAATGTATAGGAAAGGTGAGCTCATAAAAATTTAACCTCATTATGTTGCTAACTCCTGTCCTTCCTGCCAATTTACGTAATAAAAAAAAGAAAAAATATAAAGCATAGGCCATCATTTTAAAAACTTTTTTGGATATCCCCATTTTCTTGATTTTCCACTCCGAAATCCTTTGACTGCTGCCATATTAGCGATTTGCATGGCACTGTAACGTCTAATTTTTCGATTAAAAAGAACAAAACAAAAAATATTGCAAGATTTATAAAGAGACCACAATGATTTCCTTGTGTACTTTTTCATAGAATTGGATAGTTAACATTTATATATGATTCTTATATTATATTTTTTCAGGAAAAGTAGGCGGCTGGAAAGGTGTATTTACCGTACAACAGAATGAAATTTTCAACTCCGAGTATGAAAAGCGGGCCAAAAACTTTAAAATTGATTTAGGATACAGAGTTTGAACGAATGCCGTCATTTGTGAGAAGTGTTTGAAAAAGACCCGGTTTTCAAAGCCTGATGTCACGGCAAACTATGTGATAATTCATAACTCAAAACAAACTCACAATAAATATTTTATGTACCTATATGGAGGTGCCAAAACCAATATTTTGACATATTAATTCATAAGTTTACAGAATCAAACAAATGCTTGCGTACTCGCACAAAGATTTGATTTTATTTGTATGTGATATGTGAATGTATGTAGCTATGTGTATATTTGCATTAGTTTGGCCTTGTCTATCAATGACGCCCCCTAAGTCTTAAGTGTCAAACGTATATCTCTTACAAAGAGGTATTTGTTAAAGGGATAAAAACTATTCATTTTTGGCGGGTAAAGCGCAATAAAACGCATTTTTGGGGTAAATGACTGTGTTCCTATACTAACCAATGGTGAATGCATCCGTTCCAACATTCAAAATTGTCGATTGTAATTTTTTTCTCTTAAGAGATAATTACGGAGGATAGCCATATATGAAGATCCACGTGGTCTGATGACAAGCACAGATTTCAAAATAATTGCGTAATCCCCGTTAATATGGTAAAATGGAATTTATTATATTTATTGTGAAATTTTGAATCTCATACGAAGAGTTGTAATTCCTTCAAGTAGCAGTAATCAGAGAACTTTGTGAGCTATTGGTAACTGTAATCATAAGTTTATAAGTGCCGTTTTTATCCTAGAATCTTTACTCTTGATTACAGGGTGTGAAATTTTACGTGTTTCTGTACATGTATACTCGTCTGTCGCCCCTACGCAATCATGTACATTGCGACAAGGGTAACCAGAGAATTAATTTTAAATTTACATAACAACGACTATCGTGTAAAATGGAGATGTAAGTAGTAGAATTTTGACCTACCTAGCTTAATCATTGAAATACCCCAATCCCAATAATTTTTAACATGCGGCTCCTAATTGAGAGGGACGCATTTTTACCAAGCAGTTGACATAGGAGGGGTTTTTGACCCGCCGAAATGCCAAAAGCTTGAGTTGTTCCATGAGAATCATTCAGAGGATTAGACAACATCATAACCAGACAAGCACATAGGAAAAATTGCCTGAATTAGGCAGACCGAAGAAAACCACACCCAGAGAAGAGAGAATGTTAATACACTTTCCCCGTAAAATAAAGTTTCATAGCATTTAGGAACTTGACTGCAACATTTTACAAGAACCGGCCACACCCTGAGAAGACGTCTACACAATCGTCGTTAGTTCACCAGGGTTTTTGTTACGTGACCAGTGATCACTGCCAGGAACCGTCTACGTCCAGTCAGATGGTATACTGGAACTCTGGCACCAGCCAAAAATTGGGTATTGATACTGTTCTTAGACGAAAGAAAGTTTAGCGTTTTAAGAATTTATTGACGCGTAAGGGTTTGGAGAACGGCTGGTAAGAAGTAATTTCCCAATTTTCTGTCTCTGGTCAACGGGACGCACCCCACCTAAGGCTCTGTTCTCACAACTTTTAGATCGATCTATCACCGCGGGGAGTCTCACTAGATTACTGTCAGATAATCCGCCTTAAGTGTCCGTCCCCGCCTACTACAATCTGTAAGGGGTAATTAACTTTCGTGTCCGCCCGGCTGACAGCTATTTAGCGTGAACCCCCAGGGAGTTAGGTCGATCCAATGTAGGTCGATCTAATCTATGAGAATGGGGTGTAAGTCTTGTATTGGCTAGTATTGTGTAGGAGAGTGGTCAATGGGATCCTTAACACAGAAGAACATTTCCAACTGAATATGCAACTTCATTAAAACTGGAATGAGAAATCTTTTTTTTTTGTGTGTGTGTGTGTGTGTGTGTGTGTGTGTGTCTTTTACTGCTGAACAAACACAAAAGCGAACAAATGGCTAAATACAATAAAATAAGCTAGTTGCTGACTCACAAATAATTCTTCTGAAATTATTGTTTAATTTATATAGACTTAATCTTAAAGGTAAACGGGATGCCACTGATAGCATGACCCAATTATAGGGCGCACACCTCTCAGACTACTTTATTTATTTGGCATGATTTTGGTTCAAGCCGGGCCCTCGAGCAAACTGAACTAAGTCCTGGGGGAGTCGAACGTTTCAGATCATCACTTCCAGTCTTAAAGCGTGGTTTGTATTTTTGTACCCTCTATAGAGTCGTTCACTAGTGAAGTCAAGTTCACTTTATAAAATGACGTTTACACCGGGCTTGTGATCTCTCGAAGAACGATTCTGAAGTATTGTCACCATCGGTTGCAGAGTATCTTCTCTGGGTCGCCAGGGCGGTGACCAAGTGCTCTGGACAGTCTCCCAAGTCGCCTCTCTTGGTCTCCATCACTCTTCATTGGTAGCCTAGAGGTTTGCATGCGTCAGAAACTGTAAAAAGAATAGCTATAATGCTTTGCAATCAGTGACCATCGCAAGAGAGTATTATCAATATTAACTAGGTCTCACAGGTCTTCAATCACACCCCAATGGCACCCACCGGTCGTGTTAAACTCTCAAATTCCCACGTGCCGCTATGATAGGGTACTGTCTAAATTTGCTTAACTTATAAAGAATGTTTCACTGGCGAATGTAAGAAAGAGCTATGTGTTCCCTGTAAAGGCGAAGAGACGACCAAAACAGATAATGAAAGTTAGGCCTACCAAAATGTTGTGATCGTCGTAGAAATGTCGCAGCGAGGTGTAAACGTTAACGGGTCCGGGGACATAAGTAGCCAAATTAGAATGTGTTCCTTCACTATGTGTTACCAATGTATTATATGGATCACAGTGTCAAGCATGCACTGACTAAAGCACCCAAATCAAAGAACCTCAGATTTTGGGGGTCATTTTGAAATTATATTTCAACTTCTTCTGTCTCAAACTTTCTCTTGTCTGTTCTATGGCAATCTCATAAACCCATGTCACAGACAGGTTTCGAAAAACATAGATGTCCAGTAACATGTACTCGGTCTAAGGTTTGTACGCATTTTTACTCTACGTAAAAGCTTAAACTGTTGTGAAAATTATCATTTACATGTGAATCAGAATGATTTCTAAAACCAAGCAAAGATTAGTGCTGCATTGCACCATGGACAATTATTATGTCCAAGATTGCACCCACCCCCACAAGACAGGAGGATTGAAAAAATTACTAATACCTTATGATTATAGGTGGATTCACAACCTCAAAAGCGAAAATGGGCTTACTTCGCATGTTGTATACAGTGTTTGCAGACATCTATTGGTTTCCATGGATTATCACAGATCTTAAGAATATGTTTTATCGCTATTGGCAAGGAAAACTTCCCAAGTCATACAAGTACACAGACTGCGAGGGAAACACGGTATCTTTGACAGAGTTGAATGGAGTGCCCTTTAACAGATTATTTTCAGGGCTGCAGGAAACTGTAGAAAATCCTGATCACTTTGAAGCAAGAGAGGATGACATATGGGTGGTTAACTGGCCCAAATCGGGTAATTCTTTCTTCTCCAAGTTTTGTTGTGATTAGGCCACACTTTTTTTATTTTTATGGATGACATCCTGCGCGCGCACCGATTTTCGCCCGTTCTCCGAAAAAAAAAAAAATCCCCCCCCCCAGCCCCCAACGAAGTCGGTTGGCGCAAACGTCGTTATTGAATTTGCCAGGAAATGAGCCTTCTGCGCATGCGTATTATCGCCACGTGGAAATGTGGCCGCTTTGCCGTCAAATTCATCTCTAGGATTACTTTCAAATTACACGACAATTAAAGTCATGAAGAGAACGGGTGCCGTCGTTTTGGATTGGTATGCCATTGATATTGGGCATGGAGATATCACCTTTTTACAATTGTGCGAAAGGCTGGCGGCCGCCAGCGATTATCGCCCGAAAAATTTCAGTGACATTCTGTACAAAGAAGCACATAGACTACCAGGTTTTCTGTAGCGAAAAAAGGGTCGACAAGGGCGTCGAGGTATATTTGGTGGGCTGAAGGTCGGACAGGCCACCTGACAGTTTGGCCGTGTGAGTCGAAGTAGACAAAATGGCATCGTCCGAAATGACCTTTAATAGATTTGGTAGTATTAAGCATATCTTTGCATCATTTTTTAAACATTTCTGTGAAGTGTTCAAAATGCTTTAATATTCTGAGAATACAAATAAAGACACACTGTTTGTTTGATATTTGTTTTATTGATTGCTATACCAACAAAATGCATGAAATAACCTTAATAGATTTTGTAATAAGAAGTATATCTATTCATGACTTTTTTTTACATTTCTACGAAGTATTCACAATGCTTTAATATTTTGAGAGCATGGATAAAGACATATTGTTAGTTTGATACGTGTTTCTGTGGTAAAATTTGTGTTTCCAGCTGTGTACTGACAGCATTCCTTTACTTAAGCAGTATTTTTTTTTTTTTTTTTGGACAGTTTTTTTTTTCGCCCTCTCGCACCGATTTTGGGGTACCCAGAGGATGTCATCCATAAAAATAAAAAAGTGTGGCCTTATCTTATTTTTAAATGGGTGTATTAGATAACAATAAAGAAGCTATTTTATTACATGCTTTCATTTGTCAGTGAATTAGTGAATTGCAAGATCTAGTGGACGTTATCGGTGTGTGCAGTTCTATCAACAATATGCCAAACATTCCTGTAAAATCAGGTTTACTGAAGTAATAAGTTGGATGCACCAATAGTTTAGTTCTTACTCATTTAAGATGTGCATTAAAGCAATGAATGATTAAAACCATGCATTGTTGACCTTACCTTACATGAAATATTTCAAATCTAATGCATTTCAGACAAATGTATTTGGTATTTTTAGGAACTCACTGGTTGTGGGAGATTATCATGATGCTGACAAGTGACAAACCTCAACTCTCTTCTCGCGTTAAGGAAGAATGCATGTTTGAATTGCGACCCGGCCACGCCCTTGAAACCATGCCCTCACCGCGCGTTCTCAACACCCATGTGCCATATCAGTTTTTCCCTAAACAAGCCTTGGCTAAATCTAAAGTGCTGTACAGCGTCCGACATCCCAAAGATGCTGCCATATCTATGTATTATCACACGCGGAACATTGAAGATTATTCGTATTTAGGAACTTGGAACGGATTTTTCTCGTTGTTTATGGAAAACAAAGGTAAATAATCTTGTATAGTGTATGTAGCAACGTTTATTATCCCAACACGACGACTTACATCTGCGTCGGACAAAATCTGCTGAGGACACCCTGAGCTTCAGAGATAACTTGACACTTACCTCTTCACAATAGCCTATCTTCATCGTGTCAAGTTACCTCTGACGAAAATAGTTTGACCTAGTTTATATAAGCCAATCGAATCCAAGTTTCAAATTTTTTCACCAAAGTTTGGTGAAAACGCTGATTGGTTGACCGTCAATCGGTAATCCTCGGTGATTCCGCAAGCTCCATACTAACAACAAAGTTATTGGCGAGTGCGGAGACATCCGAGTAGTTCCGAGTGCATAACCGTACACAAAGAAAGCATGGCGTCTCCTACGAGTGACTACGTAAAATAATGTGTTAAGTTATCTCTTGATTCTTTGCAAAATATGAGTACATCGGAATTAAAACCAGAGCAGTTTGAGGCCCTGCATCATTATCTACTGAGGGATGATGTATTTTGCGTGCTGCCCACAGGTTACGGCAAGTCCCTGATATTCAGCCTTATCTTTGATTGGTCCGGATTTGAACAAAGCGCGCTTTGACTCGTTCGCGTTCATTGGCTAGATCGTTCAATGAGTTATTGAGTGCGGGATTTAAATTTGATTGGCGGGCGGCGGGAGCAATCGAATGTGGTCAGAGGTAACTTGACACGATGAAGATAGGCTATTGTGAAGAGGTAAGTGTCAAGTTATCTCTGAAGCTCAGGGTGGCTGAGGAGCACTCCAGCTGGACAAATAAGTTTTTTTTATATAAAATCATAGCATAACTAACGTTTAAAGCGACGCAATTAAATTTGATGTTATCAAAAAACGATCAAATACAACCTTTTTCCATTTTGTGGTCGGGTGGTACACACACATGTGAAAAATAAAATTAGTTTAAATTAGAGGTCCGCGTTTAACCGGACTTTTATTATTATTATTATTTATTATTATTATTTTATTTATTTATAATTATTATTATTATTTTTTATTTTTGACTACGTGATGTTTGCATTTTAATTTGGCATGTTTGTTTTTTAGTAGATAAAAAATACTGTGTATGGAAATTAAGATCTTTTTTTAGAATAATGGGAAGCGCAAAATGTTTGATTTTTGTAGTTGATTGTGGAAGTTGGTTTGATCACGTCGAGAAATGGTTGGAAGTTGTTGAAAACCACTCCAATGTGCAAATTGTCAAGTTTGAGGATTTGAAAGAGGTAAACAGGTTACTCAATTCCTTTTTTTAAATCTGTTAACCGTTATCTTCGCCCAGGTTTTTATCGAAGGCATGGATCACCGTGATATTCTAACGAGAATTTAATTACCACTGATCCTTAACATTATCTTAACAGTCAAAGAACAGAGTTTCACTCGGGTTCGGGTATTTTTACCTTAGTTGTATTTTGATTCAGTATCAGTAATGACGTTTTTTATATTAATCGGTTGTTTGAAAAATATAGGTCGATTTCGCTGCATAGAATACAATTCTTTTATCTTACGGACTTGCCTGATACCAAAACACGCTTTTAAAGCTTATAACCCCACTTTATTAATGTTTTAGGATTTGACCGGGGAGATAAAACGTGTAGCAGAATTTATCGGGTATCCAAAGTCAGATGAGTTTTACGCCGAGGTTGCGAAGCAATGCTCCTTTGAGAATATGAAAAAGCACAAAACCGAGTTGTTGTCAGGATGGCGACCTGAAAGCGATGGAATGTATAGGAAAGGTGCGTCGATTTAACTTTTGATCTAATTATGTTACTTAAAGGTATCCTGTCCGGGATTTACACAGCAAATAGAATTTTTCCTCGAAAAGAGAGTAATTTTTTCATACAGGTTGACATTCCCCTCTAAAAAACAGCATAACAAATAAAAAAATTATTGAATCCTAGTCCAGTATGAGCATGATCATTCTTCAAAGTTTCAGTTATCTTGGTCCCTTTGCATAAAAGTAATGTTCATTTAAAAAAAAATATGCTCCAAATGGCCTCCGTGGCATGGGATGCACACTTGCACACGAAGCACAAAATTGTCAACTGCTCCAACACCTTCTTCCTTTGGGATTTTCCTGCCCACCCCAAGTCACCTCCTGCTGATCAGTCTCATCTGAAATCTCTCTCACAGCCAGGCTATGGGGGAGGCCACAATGTCTTGTTAGAACCACTGTCCATCTAGAACTATCCTTCTGCGTCATCTCAGTTATGTCCAAAACGTTTTTAGCACTGCCACTTAAGCCCCCTTTACACTGGACGACGTCCTGACGTCCTTTGTGCGACCAAGAAAGTGGCATCGCTGTGGTCGTAGTAAGGAGGCACAAGCATCGCTTTGGTTGCAGAATGAATGCTCAATGATCAGCCAGTTGTCGGCACAAAAAAATATAGTTTTTTTTTTACTCTCAAACGGGGCCTTGCCACAGGACGCAGAAAGGACGCCGTCCAGTGTAAAGGGTGCTGTAGTGATTTCAGGAGAGCCTTTTTATCTNGGCTGAGGAGCACTCCAGCTGGACAAATAAGTTTTTTTTATATAAAATCATAGCATAACTAACGTTTAAAGCGACGCAATTAAATTTGATGTTATCAAAAAACGATCAAATACAACCTTTTTCCATTTTGTGGTCGGGTGGTACACACACATGTGAAAAATAAAATTAGTTTAAATTAGAGATCCGTGTTTAACCGGAATTTTATTATTATTATTTATTATTATTTTATTTATTTATTTATTATTATTATTTTTATTATTATTATTTTTTTTTTTGACTACGTGATGTTTGCATTTTAATTTGGCATGTTTGTTTTTTAGTAGATAAAAAATACTGTGTATGGAAATTAAGATCTTTTTTTAGAATAATGGGAAGCGCAAAATGTTTGATTTTTGTAGTTGATTGTGGCAGTTGGTTTCATCACGTCGAGAAATGGTTGGAAGTTGTTGAAAACCACTCCAATGTGCAACTTGTCAAGTTTGAGGATTTGAAAGAGGTAAACAGGTTACTCAATTCCTTTTTTAAATCTGTTAACCGTTATCTTCGCCCAGGTTTTTATCCTAAGGAGAATTTAATTACCACTGATCCTTAACATTATCTTAACCTTGGACCTAAATATTTAGGTCCAAGTCTTAACAGTCAAAGAGAGTTTCACTCGGGTTCGGGTATTTTTACCTTAGTTGTATTTTGATTCAGTATCAGTAATGACGTTTTTTATATTAATCGGTTGTTTGAAAAATATAGGTCGATTTCGCTGCATAGAATACAATTCTTTTATCTTACGGACTTGCCTGATACCAAAACACGCTTTTAAAGCTTATAACCCCACTTTATTAATGTTTTAGGATTTGACCGGGGAGATAAAACGTGTAGCAGAATTTATCGGGTATCCAAAGTCAGATGAGTTTTACGCCGAGGTTGCGAAGCAATGCTCCTTTGAGAATATGAAAAAGCACAAAACCGAGTTGTTGTCAGGATGGCGACCTGAAAGCGATGGAATGTATAGGAAAGGTGCGTCGAATCTAACTTTTGATCTAATTATGTTACTTAAAGGTATCCTGTCCGGGATTTACACAGCAAATAGAATTTTCCTCGAAAAGAGAGTTATTTCTTCATACAGGTTTACACTCCCCTCTAAAAAACAGCAGAACAAATAAAAAAATTTATTGAATCCTAGTCCAGTATGAGCATGATCATTCTTCAAAGTTTCAATTATCTTGATCCCTTTGCATAAAAGTTATGTTCTCTTTAAAAATATGCTCCAAATGGCCTCCGTGACATGGGATGCACACGAAGCACAAAATTGTCTCCAACACATTCTTCCTTTGGGATGTTCCTGCCCACTCAAAGTCACCTCCTGCTAATCACTCTCTCCTGAAATCTCTCTCACAGCCAGGCTATGGGGGAGGCCACAATGTCTTGTTAGAACCACTGTCCATCTAGAANGGGGGGGGAGGGAGGCGACAATGTCTTGTTAGAACCACTGTCTATCTATAACTATCCTTCTGCGTCATCTCAGTGATGTCCAAAACGTTTTTAGCACTGCCACTTAAGCCCCCTTTACACTGGACGGCGTCCTGACGTCCTTTGTGCGACCAAGAAAGTGGCATCGCTGTGGTCGTAGTAAGGAGGCACAAGCATCGCTTTGGTTGCAGAATGAATGCTCAATGATCAGCCAGTTGTCGGCACAAAAAAATAAAAAAAATATAGTTTTTTTTACTCTCAAACGGGGCCGTGCCACAGGACGCAGAAAGGACGCCGTCCAGTGTAAAGGGGGCTGTAGTGATTTCAGGAGAGCCTTTTTTATCTGTGGAGACATCTTGAGGAAAATGTGTGCCAGAACAACTCTCAAGCATTTGTAACGTTGACAGTAATTTTGTTTCTTTTAAAAACAACTTAAAGATAATCACAAGATTAACAAAACTACCACAGTGACTTTTTGCGTGCCTTTTCATAGAATTGAATCATTTTCACTTGTTATTATTTTTTTTTCAGGAAAAGTAGGCGGCTGGAGAGGAGTATTTACCGTGCACCAAAATGAAACTTTCAACTCCGAGTATGAAAAGCGTGCTAAAAACTTTAAAATTGATTTGGGGTACACAGATTAAACGGATGCCGTCATTTGTGAGAAGTATTCAAAAAATTTATCGAGAAGATCAGGTGTGACAGGAATGGTAGTCTATTCCCTATTAATTTGTACAGGTGACATTCGTCCCATATACTAACCCCGATACTCCGACTAACCCTAACCTGTACTAATCACATTAACCCCCAACTTTCATTCCTAGGACTGCCATTTCTGTTATGAAGAAGTCCATAAACCTGATGTCTCAACTATCTACGTGATAATCCATGACTGAACTCAAACTTACAATAATGTCTTATTTATATAGGAGGCTATATGCTTTTTTTTTGTATTACTAATTGATACCATATATGACGAAAATGGACCAAACAGATGCTTGTGCACTTGATAAAATATTTGATTTTATGTTTGTGATAAAAAAGGTGATAAAGTGATGGAACTGCAAGTGTTTCCTATACTAACAATAGAGGCAAAGCTTACTGCCGAGTACACACTCACACGCACTCTTCCATTTTGACTTCCTGAAAATGATTATAGGACGGCCCTATGTGTGTGTGTTTGTTTGTGTGTGTGTGTGTAACGTTAACGTAGCTGTCTCTCTTTTTCCGGTGTCTGCTCTGTGAAACCCCTAAATCAAGTACTGTATAAACGAACTGACTCGTATTCTTAGGAGAAAACTGATAATTGCTGTGATATCAATTTTGAATGCATAGCATCTTCAAATGCAGCAATTTGGAAGTTAGCACACTCGGGTCCACTCGACAGCCCATCAGAATTGTTAACAGAAACTCAGAACTCTATAATCCTGGTGCGATAGCAAATTACGTAATGTTCTCATTAAAGATGATTCAAAACGTGAAAAGATTTACTGCTTAATTACAGTACGTAATTTTTTTTTCAATACTACCTTTTTAAACGAACTCTTTTGTAACTGTCCAAAGATTTTCTTTACTGTGTGGTCATACAAATACAATAATAAAAAGAGAGCTGGAAAATAGGCAAATAGTGAATTCTAATGATAAAAGAAATGGTTAAAAAAATATTTGTAAAATAAATCGCAATTGGCCAGGAACAGGTTAAGAATATCTCAATTTAAAAAGTAAAGGTGTCCACGTTTATTTAATCTTTATTGGTTTCTTTCATTTTAATGGTCTTTTCGTTACTGAAAAAAATATTATATTTGTACACTTTAATAAGCTTTAATTTAATAGGCCTTTTGAGCTTATTTTAACATGAGCCTAGCCTTCAGTCAGTGCAGTCATAATTTAACGACATCTAAGAGTACCTAATTACGGTGCTAACTTGTCCAGCTGACGAAGGACGGAGGGAATGTAAACATAAAAGAAACTTAAATTATGCCCCTGTCCTTGAGAGTATGGTCCTTTTTGTGGAGCACAGGACCAAAGATAGACCTGTCCAAACGACTTTGGATGAAAGCAACCCCGTTGTCTTTCGTACGGTAAGTAATATCTTCACCTCTTAACTTGAAGATTTTAAGAAACTCGTCCTTATAATTTTCTGGAAACTTGACACAAATATAATTAACATGCTTCATACCTAACCTTATACAATGATGTAATGCACCCTGACTGTCTTAAATTTGCACACTGCTGGAATATAACTTTGCCATCAATATTGTTGTGCATGAATAAGGTAAAATTCCTTTGCTCTTCAACCAGTTATGCTCCCATGATTTGTACTACTGTTGAATACAGCAATTAGTCAAGTTTTAAATGCATGAAGATGATGAATTATGTCAGGGATAATTTTCCACCTGAAAAGAAAATTGCAAAACGTTTTCTAGACCATTTTAGTGCCAACTGTAAGTAACATGATTATGCGCAGTAGTTCGTTTTCTGGCTGGAACATATTCTCTGTCATGAACTGACCTGCTTCATCAAATATTATACCCTCTGTGTTATCAAATCTCTCAGATTTGTGAATGAATCGTTCATTTTCAAATAATTATTTTGCTTTCTCTGGCAAATAATTTTGAATGAATGAAGTTTCATTTTATTTGGCAGTCATCATATATGAATTGGCATTATCATATATAAATTGCTTATTTTGGCAGGACACAAGAAGTTATATAAAATGAGATCCAGCTTGAAATCTTCCTAATTCAGTATAAGTATTGTATTATGGTACAGTTAGTTATGCTTTTTTAGGTTGGGGGGGGGGGGAGGGGAGGTAACATATAACAGTACAGTATGTTAAAATGTTTTCTCATTGTTTAAAGGGTATGCTGTAGTTAAAAAAAAAACTGCATTCATGTGTATTAATCAAATGTGTTCCAATTTCCAGACATCAAGACCTCAGCACTCAAACCAATAAAACCAATCATTACAATGCCCTTGGTCTAAATCCCACAGCTACTGAAGAGGAGATTAGGGAGGCATATATGAAGAAGTCTAAAGAGGTTTGTAAAGTGTCACTGAGAGAGAGGGAGGGTAAAAAAAAAAGTGCCATCCTTGCCTTTCTGGTCCTGTCTCTGAGTGCTTATAACCTTTGGAGACGACATACCCTTTTCAGTTCCAACTACTAAAATTGAATCCAAAGAATGTTCAAGATAAAAATGTAAAATTTATATTATTATTTTTATTATTTTGTTTTGTTTATAAATAATAAAAACAACCTTGATGCAATGTTAAGATTGTTATTTTGATCTTTTAAAATGAAGACACTGTTGATTAATTTTTTGTAACTTTTATTATTTTTATACATTTCAGTTTTCTTTTCTTTTTAGTGTATTTAATACACCTCATATTTTAAGGCCCTTGGAATCAGAAATTCTGTAGAAGTGAAATATAGTTTTCATATATTTGAAATTTTTTCAGTGGCATCCTGACAGCAATCTAGAAAAACAAGACGAAGCTCATTTAAAATTTGTTGAAGTTAATGAAGCTTATAAGGTTTTAAGTGATACAGGAAGAAGAGCAGAATATGATGCCCAGTTTAAAATTCCACAAGAGCATTTGTACAGACAGGGACCATTAGATGACAAAGTGTAAGACATTCCTGAAGTTGCTTAAAGAAAGCAGAGAGTATTTTAATTGCAATAATATCAATGTGTCAAACATTTATTATTGATCTTGAAAATTTTGATTGCCAGTTAGAATTACTGTTACAAATTTATATCTCTGCACTTTTGTGACAAAAGTCGGAGATCATGTTATCCCGCCTGTCCATGCATCTGTGCATTAGTAATTTCTACTATCTCCTCCTAGATCATAAAAGTTTGGGGAAAAATAGACCTATCATCATGGACACTTCAGAATTTTAGTGCAACTAGGGGTTGGGCTATCCCTGGGCTGTCTGGAAAGCCTTTTTACATTGAAATTCTTGCTAACTCCTCATAGACCATTAGTTCAAGGAAGTTAAAACTTTGATGAGATTTGCAATAATTAAATATTTTAAACAGCTATTGTACTGTTTTGTAGATATGAACGCATTCATCACGCAAGTCGCAATTATTCATGGTAAGTGTGATTAGGTTACACTGATTTAACTCCTCTGGAGACCCCCAAAACTATGTGAGAGGGCAAAAAAATAAAAAATAAAAAAAATAAAAGAACAAAAAAATGCTGCTAAATTTAAGAAATACATAGCTGGAAACACAATTAAAACCACAGAACAAAGTGTATCAAGCAAACAACACATGTTTATTTGCACTTAAAGTGTCAGCAGTCATCTTCTTTATCTCAGTGTATCAAACATAAAGTCTTTCTTTGTGCTAAGATTTTAAACAGTCAGCTCTCATCTGCTTCATCTCAGTATCATACAAACAACTGAGAACACTAAAGATCTACTTTGAGGCCACCATATACCTCAACTCCCTTCTCATTTTTCTTGTTGTTGAAAAAAGAAACTGTTTGAGATGCTCTGGATAAGACATTTTTTTAAGTTGTCTGGACATTAGTGCTTGCTGTTGCCAGACTCTTGTATAGTTGAACAAACATGATATCCCCCTCACCAACATCAATTGCATACCAATCTTCAAGCAAGCCCCGTCTTTTTTGTAAACTTTTATGTTTGTGTATTTTGTTGACGATGACGAGCAGTGGCCATTTCTCATTTTACGACAAATTCAGAAGATTTTGTGGTAGAAGATAAATGCGTTTGCAGCATTTTGAGTTTGCACAGACTGTACAAGTAGTCAGTTTAGAAGTTCGAGGAGGGTTTTTTATTATTTATTTTTATTTAATTTTTTTGAGAATAAGCGAAAATTAATACACATGTAGATGTTATCCATGAAGTTAAATCAGTGTGGCCTTATTTATTTTGAAACATATTTTTAGTCTTCTTGGATTTACAGTAAGAATAATTAAAATGTGAGAATAAAAGGACTTTAAATATACATTAACTTGCATTCTTAGGCTTACAATCAGAAAGGCTGCAAAGAGTAACTGAATATGGGATTTATTTTGAAAAATAGTTGTACACTACAGCATTGATGCAGGAGCAATAGTGTTGAACTCAATTGTTATATATGATTTGGTTTACTTTCAGGTCTGAAAAAAATTGGAATAAACATATAAGTGTTTTGATCTACATAATTTTAATTAATTTAATTTAATTTAATTTAAAAATAACATCAGGTTTTGCTTTCTAGAGCTCAGCATACAGTAACAGCATCACTAACCAGCAGGTAGTTAGCTAACTCACTGACTCACTACTGACTACTCCTACATTTAATTTTCTGTTGGTGGTACATACCAGAGGCACCATTATCTCTGTTATCCTTTAGTTATGCTTATTTTCTTTTTGTGTAGGGGACGACATAAAAATGATGTAGTCTATTTTCTGGTTCAAGACACAGTAAGGATTTTTTTAGCCATGGTTTTTGTAACAATCCTTCATTATAAATTTGTAAGTATTGCAGCTTTTCTTTATGCATTTATATAGACGGACACTGCATGTGTCTGTATATATTCTGATCATCTCGTTTGTCCATTTCATGCTGTCAATTGCACGTTATTCACCTTATAACTGCCAAACAATAAGTTTTGTTTTACTTTAAATTTTCTTAGTTTTGTTTGGCAAAAATGCGAGACTTCGGGTCTTCTGAAATTAGACTCATTAACTGGATTATTTTTACAAAAATTAAATAATTATGCCAGAATGAATTTCAATTTTAATTCAGATTTACTAAAGGGTCCAGTTTATTTAAATGGTGATAAATTGATACATGGTACAAAATGAGAACCAATTTAAAATAGCAATCTCAGAGGAAAAGAAGCAGTTTTGGAAGGCTGTTCCACGCTGTTTATGACGTCAGTCAATGTTTACATTTTAAAATAACTTTTTTTTTTTTTTTTTTTGAGATTACTGGAATTTACCAGTTTATATTAAAGTAGTGCAATTGGAGTTTTTTTTTTCCCTGTTCAGCATCCGTTTTTTGCCAGTTTTGCTGTCTATCAGTAGATGTGAGAAATCACACTAGCCAGTTTCTGGAAGTGCAACTTAAAATATGTACACTGTTACTTATGGCTTTCTTTGATAATGAAGTTCTCTAGTAATTTTTTTTTTTTTTTTTGTAGTTATCTAAATATTTTCCTTGAATTTGTCTCGGTACTGTTATTAGAAATTGGTCACAACATTTGTGTCAGACAAACTAATTAAGCAACAAAAATCATTATGCATTAGAATGAGATTGCTGCAATTTTTATATTGCTATTGCATTGCACCAAATTCTGTATTTTTCATTTTATAGTCTCCATCAGTTAAAGAAGAAGTGGCAAGGGCACGCGATCCATTACGTTATATGGTAGATGAATAGGACAATAAAGTTGGCACACTTTGGATTAGAGATGGCACATAAACTGTAATGTTGTGTTCACTAACATTGAAAATGTGGCCATCTGTCAAAAAAGATAAATTTATGTATTTTACATGTTGACAAATGATGAGCTATTTTGCCAATTTTAATGACATATATGTACATTACAGCAGTGTTTGTTATGACAGAAAAGTATGTTTTACTTGCCTTTTAGTGCAAGTGCACCGTGTCAATACAAAATGTGTTTATACAGTAAATACTAGTGTTGCCAAATTCTATCCCTGCTATCAGTTATATTTTATAAAGTTAAAGCATTTTTTCATCTGGGGTGCATTTAATAAAATCAAATATGAAAAGAAGCAATTTTCTGTCTTCGTATATCACATATCTTGGGAAAGGAAGGAAATGAATGTAAAATGTTGGTAAAAGTTCTTTGAACTAATATGTATTTTTTTGCCTCACTATTTTATTAATGAAATGAACAATAAGTTATCGCAACATTGTATTGTGCTTCATCTTCAAAAATACAGTTCTAAAATTCATCACTGTTTAGTTCATTAGGCTACACTTATTCTGATATAGTGTTTCGGCATCAATACCTTTTTAGTTTAAAAAATCCATAAGAAAATAAACCTTTTATAAACCATGAGTTTAAGGGCTTTACTATGGCCCTCTTTTCAATAAGTTTGAGTGATCTTCACAAGAGCACAGTCCAGCATAAAAGTCTCTCGAATTATTCCATTATTTACATTACGGTAATGATATAAGAATGTCTCACGAGTTGTCTGTTTAATCAATTAGTATTATTAGTTAAAGGTATCAATACTTTCATAATTAAAATTCAAAACAAAACAAAATGTTTCCTGTATGTGCTGCCTCTGAAAATATCCCATCTGTACAAAACCAACAGCAATCAGTGGACACAACTTGCTCTAGAGGACTTCACAAGTGTTACCCCAGCATTTGTCTCAACTGTATATGTACGTCTTCTTTCTCTGTTCTTTACTCTGTCCACCTATGAGTGCAGTTGTTATTTGTGCAAACATAGTATAGCCGCATCCCTTGCTATAAGAACAAAAAAAAAAGTAAGGACAATGAATTCAATATATACTTGTTTACAACTATAATGTCACACAAGAACAAACATACTATCGTCTTAAATTTTTATTGAACACCTTTACATTAAGAATGATTGTTTTACTGTTTAGATTGCTATATATATATATACACCTGGGGCCGGTTTCACAAAGCAGTAGTTAGTTAGCGATCGGTAGTTAGCCTCTCGCTAGTTAGAGTGCCGTTTCACGAAGCAGTCACTAGTTCTCTCGCTCGTTATTGTCTCGTTGTTGCCTTGGATATTTAACGACTGGTCAGACCAGTCGCTTACTCTAGAGTTTCATCGTACGCATGCGTAATGAGTGAAATAAAAAGGTTGCTTAGTTACCGTTGTCTGTCGTTTGTCTTTGTATCCAATATGGCGGCTACCTTTCTTGCTAACCGTACCGCCAGACGGCAACGTAGACTACGACGTTTTCATGAAAGGCAGAATCTATTAGAATATACACACGATGATGCAATTTAAGAGAGGTTGCGCCTAGCTGTGACAAAAAGAGCTGCAAAAAGGTGGTGGAGATCCTTTACGACGACCTCAAGGCAGACGTTCTTATGCATTTCCAGCCACCAAAAATTGGAGAGTTAGTGCTTTCGTGACACTTTTACGCAAGAGTTCCACTTCCGGCAGACGGTTTCGAGACTACGGTGAGTAACGAGAGAACTAGCGACCGAACTTTACGACTGAACTTAGCGATAAGTTAACTACTGCTTTGTGAAACACCCCTCGAAAATCGCTAAGTTTGCTCGTTAGCGAGGTAGTTCAGTAGTTAGTTGTTCTAACTAACTACTGCTTTGTGAAACCGGCCCCTGATCCCTGCACTTGGAGTTGGCATTTTTTATAATTTCATAACTAGTCCAGTTATTACTGTTTCAGCTTTACTTTATTGCTGCATGTTTTTGAAGAAAGGCCTGCTTTTATTATTATTTTTATATCCAAAACTTATTTAAATAAGCAGCATCAAGAAATTTAATGGTGTAGGCACAATGGTAACCTAATCAATCCATGTATTAATTTTAAAAAGAATAAAACTGATCCATACAAGGGTTGATTTAAGTAAAATGGGATTTATGAAAAATAAAAAATATATAACTGAACTGTTAAACACTTCTCGAGTTTTGAGAACTAGGGACTGCTTCAAATATTCAATTTACTTCAAGGTATAGATAAAGTACGAGGCGCTGAGCTTTTACGAGAAATAGGGCAGATAATTGGCGAGGTGTAGCAAAATTACAAAATTAAAGACAAACCTCTGTTTTAGTTGTCTGTGACTGGAAGAAAACCGCTTCTTTATGACCACATTTAGGACAAGGGTGGTCATCTGTTCTAGGAAGTGTTGGATCTGCTATAACATCAGCTATGATTTGAGTAAGTTCACTGAAAATAAGGGAATTTTTTATGTCATACAAGTAACACTACAAACAATGGTTTATTTGCTATTTTTGTCTATTCTATTCTCTCATGGAACTAATTTAATTGAGATATTGTCACATTATTATGGTATACAAAATATACACAAAATTCTAAGACGTCACTAACTTACTCTACTTCATGTGTAATTTTGTTCACATATATACATGGATTGTCTGCCTCTTGCTGATAGTCGCAATTTCGACACTAAAATAAAAATGAACATTAATGAAATATTGTGAGAGAAAAATGTGTTGGTGTTACTGGAAAATATATGTATATATCCTGAAACCCATGTGGTTGAATGTATTTTGTTCACAAGAAAATTTGATGTGTAAGGAATCTCGCATATCTTGTATGGAAGTGTAAAAGGAAATGGGAATACTTAAAACATGGTATGTGCTAATGACATCAAAAAGACTTGCCAAATCGTGAAACCAGTAAATTAGTGTTTGACCATAAACCACCTGCTAATTTAAAAAAATACTTACTGCATATGCTAGGATTTTATTCTCTTTGTCTTCTTTGGGGTACAACATGTTATTGCTACAAAACATGAAATACAATTATTAAAAAATTAAGAGTACAAATGACATGTTTAATTGTTCTACACATGACTCCACAAAAAGACTTACAAAACACTTATCATCTGATTATTTACATGCTAGAATGACCCATACATTATTCTAAACCTTAAAATTGTTATAATCAATAGGAAATGTCCCTTGGTGTAAGATGAAGCAAACTTTTTTAATCATCAAATAAAACTGGATGCATTCACAAGCTGTCCAGCCGTCTTTGAAAATATTGGCCGGCCGGCAGAGGCAAACCACCATTGTACTCACTCGAGTCGTATCACTGCTGTTAATGTGATATTATTAACGTCGTAGAACAATGCTTATTTTGAGGCATAGATCTAATTTACTTACCATTCTTGGCAGAATTTTATCCCGACAAAACCCGGGCCATCATCATGATGTTCGTACATATTCTATGTATTTTGTTATGAACTTCGATAGGATTTTAATATAATAACAGTGATATCATAGGAAGACGCCGTCGCTTGAAACCGGAAGTAGTATGAAATGCGCGTTCATGGTCAATGGAAACAAATTGAACTAATAATCCCACACGATAAGAAAGATAAGAAAATGGGACACTACAGATACACGTTGCAGAATTGCCACAGTTTACATCTCTGTATAAGCTATGCATGTAGCTCAAAGAGTAAATTTAAGCGGTAACATTTTGGTAAGATGTACAGCATTAGAGTGCGATGTTTACCAAGAAAAGCTTATTTCGCAGGCAGGATAATGGGAGGAACAGGAGAATGGTGCTCTGGGGATTTATTTCCCACTAAATTAAGTTTTCTTGTTTTTATAACATACATGGCGTTATTTATAAATCAGGGTAAGTAGACATGATGTTCTATATGGCAAAATATATGAGATACGCTCCCCAAATTTAAGTAAAGTAAATGCGCAAGTTCCCCTGCATTGCTACAGGATACACATGATCAACTTCAACTTCCATCACTTCCATCAACATGTGAACGTCAAATTGTTAGAGATCCTTAACGTTATGTGTTGAACTGAGACACTTTATTAGAACTAGGTATTTACATTACTAAGTTGCGTATTTATTTAAAGACAAAACTATCTGGGATCTCAGTCCAAGACGGCCAGGAAGACTGTAAACGTCAATTCCAAAGTGAAACTTGATGAATGTTATGCAAAGTGTTATTAAAAATAAAGTAAAATAAGATAACAACGAAAACAAAACAAATGAACATTAAAAAGTGCAGTGTATAAATTGCAAACCTGAGATATACATATATTTATTGTAGGCATCCTGGTTACAGCATCAAAGACGTCAGATAATAAGTACATGTATAATACAGTCACAGTAGTTCTGTTGACCGAGTGCTGCAAGTTAGTTCTTGCACTAATTCTGTATTTGAAAGAGTAAGTAATCTTCTCATAACAAACACTTTTTTGTATATGTACTTATTTTTTCAGTATTTAACATGATTGTTTTATTGCTTAATAAAGCTCATAAAGTATTTTAAGAATAGAGCTGTGGAAAATACATGTAATATGGTTATTTCCATTCCAAAGAAGGGTTAAAAAAACTTACTGCATAAAATTACATTGCTACATTTGTGTTTTCATAGAAAAATTATATTTTCTATTACCAGTAAACCTCTCAAGGGCATGTTTCTTGAAGTGGCAAAAAATTACCAAGGTAAAATTCCCGTTCCAATAATTACTTAACCACTACATCTTGTTAAAATTCACTGAAATATTGTAATATTTACTTGTACAACAAATGTGAATATCTACTCTCATGTATTACACTGGTACAGTTTGAGTTCAGTTACATGAAGCTTTTGAAGAAACAGATGATACTGTTTGCAGAGTTGAGCATGTCACTGTCATATCTCAGAGATATATACAGGTTTTTATCACAAATGCTTTTTTTATTTATTTAGTGTTCCTTCTGTACTTTGTGCCCTCGGCTCTCTACTGCCTGTATAATAACCTGGCTTTTGTCAACTTGGCCACTTATGATCCAACCACCTATTTCCTCTTACTCCAGTTCAGAGTGGTAGTCACTGGGGTGGTCTTCCAGGTGAGTGGTCCATACAATAGATTGAGACAGTCTTGTGCTAGCTTGTAAATTATTCAGTAGAGGTTTGAATTGTAATAGCTCTTTTTTTTGTCAATTTGCCACCCCTTTTGGATCAAAGTGATTAGAATTGTTGAGAATTTTGGACTACTTTGCCATTTATAAATTCATGCTTGGATGAACCCAAAATGAAGAACTGATACAGGACATACAAAGGCACAAGTAATGAATACTAAATAAATGCACTGCAGTGCCAAAACTAACAGGTCAATTACAAGTTACATTATAACATTTTGTGACAAAAATGTAATTTGATTCATATTATTATTTTTAAATAAGTTTGTAAAAAGACTCTGAAAATCATTGCAACCAAAAGTTATTCACATATGTACAGTATCTTATGAGAATAAAAAGAAATCTACATAAAAATCAAATAAAAACGGGTATTTAGAAACAAATGCTTGCAGCTTTTTCACATGTATTATGCATACATGAATGGAACTAAGTATATTAAATGTATTAAAGCTAGTGCACATCAAACTAGTTTAATGTGTCCTAGATTTAAGAAAGTTAGGAGATGAAAATCAAGAATATATATTACCCTAGATAGTTGGAGCTGGTTTTATATTGGTTAATTTGTTGCATTATTTGAACATAAGTGGTTTATTAAATTTCCAGAAATATTGCTGATTTAATTTTGATAAGAAAAATGTGGTTTGGATTTAAATAATTTTAATGGGTTTTTAGAGTAACTTAAAACCCATTAAAATTAGGCTTAAAATTATAGAATATCAGGAATAATCATATCTTAAAAGATGTTCATACCAGTGACACTGAAAACTTAAAAGAGTTGATGGAGTTTAAGTATGATTTTTGCATTGGGCTCTTGTTAATTATGTATTTTAAGTATCCTCAATGTACCAAATATCATTATGCTCATTTATGTCTCATTGATCGAAACAAGTTCAATAGGGTGTCAGAAGAGTAGAAAAAGCATTAAAGTGACTAACACAAGTATGATGTTCGAAATTTGGCCGATGCCGGCTGCTTTTATTGTGAATCCCTCTAAAAAAATGAAATGAAGTAATTTTACAAGCTAAAATTGAATAATTGTGACAGTGCCAAATTACGTAACTTTTACGCCTGAAAAGACTTTATTTTATAAATAATTCCCAAACAACATAGTGCAGACGTTGTTATAGACCGTCGCCATAAAACAACGTTTGACTCAGCCGCCAAACTTCCCTTTAACCACATTTAAATTGTGATCTAATATTAATTAATGCATTATGCTAATTTATATTATATTGTACAATCCAAATTTTTTTAATTGCAAGATATTATTATCCATAAGAGCATGATGTTTGAAATTTGAGTGTGATTACCATGACCTGTTTGGACTATGAATAATAAATGACCCCCAGACATTTACTTTAAAGTTATAACTCATAGATGGAAAAGCAGCTTTTTAGAATCGTGCTTACTAACTGGAGATAAGGGTGAAATTTTTTTCTAATACATACATTTTTTATAAAGAATAATGCTGAAGTCTTAATGCTGGTCTTTAATGGTGGTTTTCATCATTCCGCTGAAATCTTTTGTATCAATTATTCAGTTATTATAGGTTAATAATAAATAAATAAGTAAAGTAATAATCGGTTGCTTTTAACATTGGTGTTTTAGATTTAAAAATGTAGAACACCATGCAGCCTCATAACTAAAGATTTTTTAATCTTTTCCTTCAGGTCCTTTTCAAGAAAAAGTTGAGTGTGATTCAATGGATGTCCATGCTTATGCTGACTGTTGGATGTGTAGTCAAAGAAGCGGAACATGATGTATCTTCACGCAATACAGTGCAGCATGGGGGCCAGTCTTCTTGGCTGCAGATCAATGCAAGCATCATNCAACTTTCTTTAACTTCTCCGTCTGTATGCACCATACAGCTCAGTTGAGTCTCATAGACCTTTATCGTGATTGTCGTCACAGTACCACGTGACCCAGATCTGTTGCTTCATTTTTGTATATTGAGGTGAGGTTTACTAAAGCCCTTTTTTTTTGCTAATAGATTGTTTTTATAATTTTTAAATGGCGGGGATCGATTAAAACATACCTCTAGTGTATAGATTGAGTGCTGTATCTTCAAAATTCGAAAAATGGATTTTTACATGAACATTGTCCTTTAAATTTTTATTGAACACCTTTACATTAAGAATGATTGTTTTACTGTTTAGATTGCTATATATATATATATATACACCTGATCCCTGCACTTGGAGTTGGCATTTTTTATAATTTCATAACTAGTCCAGTTATTACAGTTTCAGCTTTACTATATTGCTGCATGTTTTTGAAGAAAGGCCTGCTTTTATTATTATTTTTATATCCAAAACTTATTTAAATAAGCAGCATCAAGAAATTTAATGGTGTAGGCACAATGGTAACCTAATCAATCCATGTATTAATTTTAAAAAGAATAAAACTGATCCATACAAGGGTTGATTTAAGTAAAATGGAATTTATGAAAAATAAAAAATATATAACTGAAATGTTAAACACTACTCGAGTTTTGAGAACTAGGGACTGCTTCAAATATTCAATTTACTTCAAGGTATAGATAAAGTATGAGGCGCTGAGCTTTTACGAGAAATAGGGCAGATAATTGGCGAGGTGTAGCAAAATTACAAAATTAAAGACAAACCTCTGTTTTAGTTGTCTGTGACTGGAAGAAAACCGCTTCTTTATGACCACATTTAGGACAAGGGTGGTCATCTGTTCTAGGAAGTGTTGGATCTGCTATAACATCAGCTATGATTTGAGTAAGTTCACTGAAAATAAGGGAGTTTTTTATGTCATACAAGTAACACTACAAACAATGGTTTATTTGCTATTTCTGTCTATTCTATTCTCTCATGGAACTAATTTAATTGAGATATTGTCACATTATGTATGGTATACAAAATATACACAAAATTCTAAGACGTCACTAACTTACTCTACTTCATGTGTAATTTTGTTCACATATATACATGGATTGTCTGCCTCTTGCTGATAGTCGCAATTTCGACACTAAAATAAAAATGAACATTAATGAAATATTGTGAGAGAAAAATAAGTTGGTGTTACTGAAAAATATATGTATATATCCTGAAACCCATGTGGTTGAATGTATTTTGTTCACAAGAAAATTTGATGTGTAAGGAATCTCCCATATCTTGTATGGAAGTGTAAAAGAAAATGGGAATACTTAAAACATGGTATGTGCTAATGACATCAAAAAGACTTGCCAAATTGTGAAACCAGTAAATTAGTGTTTGACCATAAACCACCTGCTAATTTAAAAAAATACTTACTGCATATGCTAGGATTTTATTCTCTTTGTCTTCTTTGGGGTACAACATGTTATTGCTACAAAACATGAAATACAATTATTAAAAAATTAAGAGTACAAATGACATGTTTAATTGTTCTACACATGACTCCACAAAAAGACTTACAAAACACTTATCATCTGATTATTTACATGCTAGAATGACCCATACATTATTCTAAACCTTAAAATTGTTATAATCAATAGGAAATGTCCCTTGGTGTAAGATGAAGCAAACTTTTTTAATCATCAAATAAAACTGGATGCATTCACAAGCTGTCCAGCCGTCTTTGAAAATATTGGCCGGCCGGCAGAGGCAAACCACCATTGTACTCACTCGAGTCGTATCACTGCTGTTAATGTGATATTATTAACGTCGTAGAACAATGCTTATTTTGAGGCATAGATCTAATTTACTTACCATTCTTGACAGAATTTTATCCCGACAAAACCCGGGCCATCATCATGATGTTCGTACATATTCTATGTATTTTGTTATGAACTTCGATAGGATTTAAATAATAATAACAGTGATATCATAGAAGACGCCGTCGCTTGAAACCGGAAGTAGTATGAAATGCGCGTTCATGGTCAATGGAAACAAATTGAACTAATAATCCCACACGATAAGAAAGATAAGAAAATGGGACACTACAGATACACGTTGCAGAATTACCACAGTTTACATCTCTGTATAAGCTATGCATGCAGCTCAAAGAGTAAATTTAAGCGATAACATTTTGGTAAGATGTACAGCATTAGAGTGCGATGTTTACCAAGAAAAGCTTATTTCGCAGGCAGGATAATGGGAGGAACAGGAGAATGGTGCTCTGGGGATTTATTTCCCACTAAATTAAGTTTTCTTGTTTTTATAACATACATGGCGTTATTTATAAATCAGGGTAAGTAGACATGATGTTCTATATGGCAAAATATATGAGATACGCTCCCCAAATTTAAGTAAAGTAAAAGTTCCCCTGCATTGCTACAATACATGTACACATGATCAACTTCAACTTCCATCACTTCCATCAACATGTGAACGTTAACTTGTTAGAGTTCCTTAACGTTATGTGTTGAACTGAGACATTTTATTAGAACTAGGATTTTACATTACTAAGTTGCGTATTTATTTAAAGACAAAACTATCTGGGATCTCAGCCCAAGACAGCCAGGAAGACTGTAAACGTCAATTCCAAAGTGAAACTTGATGAATGTTATGCAAAGTATTATTAAAAATAAAGTAAAATAAGATAACAATGAAAACAAAACAAACAAAACAAATGAACATTAAAAAGTGCAGTGTATAAATTGCAAGCCTGAGATATACATATATTTATTGTAGGCATCCTGGTTACAGCATCAAAGACGTCAGATAATAAGTACATGTATAATACAGTCACAGTAGTTCTGTTGACTGAGTGCTGCAAGTTAGTTCTTGCACTAATTCTGTATTTGAAAGAGTAAGTAATCTTCTCATAACAAACACTTTTTTGTATATGTATTTTTTCAGTATTTAACATGATTGTTTTATTGCTAATTAATAAAGCTCATAAAGTATTTTAAGAATAGAGCTGTGGAAAATACATGTAATATGGTTATTTCCATTCCAAAGAAGGGTTAAAAAAACTTACTGCATAAAATTACATTGCTACATTTGTGTTTTCATAGAAAAATTATATTTTCTATTACCAGTAAACCTCTCAAGGGCATGTTTCTTGAAGTGGCAAAAAATTACCAAGGTAAAATTCCCATTCCAATAATTACTTAACCACTACATCTTGTTAAAATTCACTGAAATATTGTTATATTTACTAGTACACCGAATGTGAATATCTACTCTCATGTATTACACTGGTACAGTTTGAGTTCAGTTACATGAAGCTTTTGAAGAAACAGATGATACTGTTTGCAGAGTTGAGCATGTCACTGTCATATCTCAGAGATATATACAGGTTTTTATCACAAATGCTTTTTTTATTTATTTAGTGTTCCTTCTGTACTTTGTGCCCTCGGCTCTCTACTGCCTGTATAATAACTTGGCTTTTGTCAACTTGGCCACTTATGATCCAACCACCTATTTCCTCTTACTCCAGTTCAGAGTGGTAGTCACTGGGGTGGTCTTCCAGGTGAGTGGTCCATACAATAGATTGAGACAGTCTTGTGCTAGCTTGTAAATTATTCAGTAGAGGTTTGAATTGTAATAGCTCTTTTTTGTCAATTTGCCACCCCTTTTGGATCAAAGTGATTAGAATTGTTGAGAATTTTGGACTACTTTGCCATTTATAAATTCATGCTTGGATGAACCCAAAATGAAGAACTGATACAGGACATACAGAAGCACAAGTTATGAATACATTACTAAATAAATGCACTGCAGTGCCAAAATTTACAGGTCAATTACAAGTTACATTATAACATTTTGTGACAAAAATGTAATTTGATACATATTAATATTTTAAAATAAGTTTGTAAAAAGACTCTGAAAATCATTGCAACCAAAAGTTGTTCACATACGTACAGTATCTTATGAGAATAAAAAGAAATCTACATAAAAATCAAATAAAAACGGGTATTTAGAAACAAATGCTTGCAGCTTTTTCACATGTATTATGCATACATGAATTGAACTAAGTATATCAAATGTATTAAAGCTAGTGCACATCAAACTAGTTTAATGTGTCCTAGATTTAAGAAAGTTAGGAGATGAAAATCAAGAATATATATTACCCTAGATAGTTGGAGCTGGTTTTATATTGGTTAATTTGTTGCATTATTTGAACATAGGTGGTTCATTAAATTTCCAGAAATATTGCTTATTTAATTTTGATAAGAAAAATGTGGTTTAGATTTTAATAATTTTAATGGGTTTTTAGAGTAACTTAAAACCCATTAAAATTAGGCTTAAAATTATAGAATATCAGGAATAATCATATCTTAAAAGATATATAATCATATCTTTTAAGATGTTCATACCAGTGACACTGAAAACTTAAAAGAGTTGATGGAGTTTAAGTATGATTTTTGCATTGGGCTCTTGTTAATTATGTATTTTAAGTATCCTCAATGTACCTAATATCATTATGCTCATTTATGTCTCCTTGATCGAAACAAGTTCAATACGGTGTCAGAAGAGTAGAAAAAGCATTTAAGTGACAAACACAAGTATGATGTTCGAAAATTGGCCGATGCCGGCCGCTTTTATTGTGAATCCCTCTAATAAAATGAGATGAAGTAATTTTACAAGCTAAAATTGAATAATTGTGACAGTGCTAAATTACGTAACTTTTACGCCTGAAAAGACTTTATTTTACATATAATTCCCAAACAACATAGTGCAGACGTTGTTATAAACCATCGCCATAAAACAACGTTTGACTCAGCCACCAAACTTTCCTTTAACCACATTTAAAATGTGATCTAATATTAATTAATGCATTATGCTAATTTATATTATATTGTATAATCCAACTTTTTTTAATTGCAAGATATTATTATCCATAAGAGCATGATGTTTGAAATTTGAGTGTGATTACCATGACCTGTTTGGACTATGAATAATAAATGACCCCCAGACATTTACTTTAAAGTTATAACTCATAGATGGAAAAGCAGCTTTTTAGAATTGTGCTTACTAACTGGAGATAAAGGTGATATTTTTTCTAATACATTCATTTTTTATAAAGAATAATGCTGAAGTCTTAATGCTGGTCTCTAATGGTGGTTTTCATCATTCCACGTATCTTTGGTATGGGGGCTGAAATCTATTGTATCAATTATTCAGTTATTATAGGTTAATAATAAATAGATAAGTAATAATTGGTTGTTTTAACATTGGTGTTTTACATTTAAAAATGTAGAACACCATGCAGCCTCATAACTAAAGATTTTTTAATCTTTTCCTTCAGATCCTTTTCAAGAAAAAGTTGAGTGTGATTCAATGGATGTCCATGCTTATGCTGACTGTTGGATGTGTAGTCAAAGAAGTGGAACATGATGTATCTTCACGCAATACAGTGCAGCATGGGGGCCAGTCTTCTTGGCTGCAGATCAATGCAAGCATCGTTCTCATACTGCTGCAAGTATTTTGTTCCTGTTTTGCAGGGGTGTACAATGAGTATTTATTGAAAGATAAAGGGTGCAATATACATTTAATGCTGCAAAATGTTTTTATGTACATTGATTCTATCATCTGCAACATCATCATACTTGCCTGTACTGGAAATCTTCTTACTGCTTTTAAGCCAGACAGCCTTGCAAGTGTCTTCCACTGGAAAGTTCTGGCAATAATACTAAATGGGGCTGGGATCGGCATTGTAACAAGTCTGTTTCTAAAGTCTTTGAACTCCATATTGAAGACTTTTGCAAGTGCATTAGAATTAATGTTTACTGCTGTGCTTTGTTGGATTATATTTGGTATTGCCATTAATGCCTATACTGTTGTTGCCATTTTGATTGTATCAGCATCTCTATTGTTGTATTCAAGAAATCCAGTTGTCAATAGAGCTAAAAATGATCCAGACAATACTGAAGAATCTGTAGAAGTATCTGAAACAAATAATAAACAATCAGAGGTTTAAATTTTTTGCAACAATATGATATAATTTTTTGATATAACATACAATTAACTTACCATTTTTGAATTTTGATTTGTTAGTAGTACAAGTGTATCACAATTCTGTAGCACTAAAACTGCAAAAAATTAATTAAGTAAATATGCCAACAATCTGAAACTTTTGGGAAATTAAGTTATATTTTTATGTCTTCCATATTTATCTAACATATATATTAAAATCATGTTTTCTCTTTTTGAATTATATATGTAACTCCTAGGGTAAATATAGCAGTTGAAGAGCATTATCATGGTCCAGTGAAAGTTCATTCTACAACATTATAAAATTTACCTCCCTTCAGATATTTCAACCTAGTTTGGAAGGTTTTACAACCTATAACCCAATCTGGGTTAACATGGATGCAGTATGATAATCAAATAATTTATTTGATCACTTAGCAGTGCCAAGTTGATCTTATCAGGGGCAAATTGGAGTACTGCTAATATTTTAAAAACATACTTACAAGTATTTGTATGTATATGTAATGAATGTATTGAAACATTTGATCTGATATATATACACACGATGAAACAAGTTTTGATTGAGAATTTCTGTGGGTATAGGTAACACGATGTAAATTTTGAAAGTGCACTGTAAGATTAAAGGGATAACAACCATGTGTATGAGATCTATATTTCACAATAAATAAATTGTAAACAACTCGTAGAAATATAAAATATTCTATTCTATCACAAAAACGACAGTGTTAAGCATTTATTCTGAAATCTGTGCTTGTCATCAGACAACATGACAATTTTTTGGACAAAATGAACAGTTGGTATCCTTTTAATCTATCTAATCACAAAATCTATGGTATTTTTTTTTCTTATTTTCTTGACAGAGAGTAGGTGCTTAACAATGTCCTAATTATTTTTAAAGACATACATTATATGTGTTTGAATATATTCTTATTCTGTCTGCCCTTGTTGTTACAAATTATACATAAATCTGTGCAACACATCTGTTAACCATGTATACAAAACAATCTTTTTTTTACTTTGAATTTCTGGGTGGCTTTGTTTAAAAAATCAGCATAATAAGATTATTTTCACAATAGTTGTTGATTTTTCTATGTATCTTGGTGACATTCACTCTCTTAGTTTCAAAGTATATAATTTTGTTTTTCTTAAGTTCTGACCAGTATAGTTTTCTTTAATAGAAAGGCAAGTACCTTAAAATCTTCATGACTGGATAATTTTTTTCTAAACTTTCTAAAAAAACTATTTTACTTTTATTTGCATGTAGTTTTTGAAACTCTCCCTTTAAGTGCCAAACTATATTTCAGTTTTATTTGAATTTAATGGGATGCTTTGTTTGATTAAAAGTGAGGTTGAGTTTGAAAATCATGATTGGTTTAAATTCACAGAAGCTATGGTACAGTTTGTGGTGTTGTTCAGTGTTCATTACTGGGTTATGCAGAGGTTTGTAACATGCAGGGGCGGATTTAGGCCGTCTTCTGGGTCTTCCGGAAGACAGTCAGATTTTTAAGTTTACATTGACGGTTATCTAATGTTTTCTGTCGGAAGACGGTCAAAAATGGAGGATGGATTAACAAAATAATTAAGAAGACTGTCAGATAATATCTCCGGATCCGCCCCTGACATGTTACCGCTGTATAAAAATTTTTAAGTATCCAAGTTTTTATTGTTATGTGACTTACTTTAACATTGGTTTAAAATTCACAATCTGATTCCTAACCAGGTCATTTTTAGTTTTCTTAGTAATTTAGTCATTATGTTTGTTATATCTAAACTTTGAGGTAGATTATCTTTTTCTCGCTGTTTAATAATTTTATGTAAGTTTGCTCATACAGAATACTGTCATAGTTCAATGAACTGTGTGCAAACTGTGCGTACAGATGGTTGACCAGAAAACCAAGAAATTGAGCCTGATTTTTTTTTTTTTTTTTTTAGAACTTAAAAACCGTCTTCCACCATCTATCTTGCCTAGGTGTCATTGAATTGTTATGTTTAATGTTTGTATAACGTGCAATCTAAGATCTAAAGTTTGCATAATATTTTGTTTGAATGCAAAATGCTCTTTGATAGTGATGTGCCTTAATCCAATGTAAAGTGAAGCATGTTGGTCTCTGAAAGCCAAGGGCATCACCTTTTATGTGACACTTCACCATTAGGTTTCATGATGAAAGACCAGAATTCCATGTTTAATAGTTGAGGTAGATTATCTTTCTCCCACTGTATATGTTATCTAAGTTTTACGTAAGTTGGCTCGTGGTTTACTCATACAAAATACTGCCATGCTAAAATTATCTGTGCAGAGACCATCTACAGGTGGTTGACCAGAAAATCAAGAAATTGGGAACAGACAAACCATACCTGTTCTTGAGCAAATTTTTTAAAATAATTTTTAAACCATCTTTCACCATCTATCTTGTCGATGTGTCATCAAATTGATTTGTTTAATGTTTGTATAATGTGTAATCTTAGTGTATAGTTTGCATTATATTTTGTTTGAATGCAAAATCATACATGGTGCTCTTTGTTAGTGTTTAGCATATCTGTGGCATGTCGATTCTTTTGAGAAATAGAAATATTGTAGTGTACATAGATTTCTGACATATAATGGTGCTCTGTTACATATTGACACATTTATCTGGCATTTATATATATTGTTACTATTATGACATGCAGTTGGTCTTCCAACCATAAGTGATGGAACTGGATAGAACTTCATTTTGTAATAATAGAATGGAATATACATTTTATATGATATCAAAGTACAGCTGAGGCTGCTGGTATACAGCACCTGCAACAGAAACATTCTTTTGAAAGGCATAAACATTTATTTTCTCAAAAAAAAATTACATGTGGCATCTCTAGTCTTTTCTCCCTATTATTGATCATATCAAGTTTAGGCAATACATCATGTATATGTATTGGTATTTATTACATAATGCAATGTAGATCTTATGTGGTCACAAGGACATGGATTTTTTAAATCCTGCTTTATTGAATGGTGCTTATTAGAGGTGTCTGATTCTTGTAACATGCAGACACGTACTAAACGTAAATGAGCTACAATCAAAACAAAGTGAAGTCTACATGTTAAGTTCAACACTGAAGAATTCTTTTGCCCATCTACAGAAGTATTTTTTAAAAAATATGCCTGTTTAGAACCCTTAGTTAATACTGATATGAAAAATAAAGATTAAACCTGTAATTATTCTTTGTTATACGTATTTGCGATAGTCTTCTATAAAGGAAAAGTAGTCACACATTTCACTTTGTGTAATGGACATCTACTCCCTGTAAGTTCGGGCCCATGCAAATCCTGCAGCTTAAAAGAAAACTGCTGCCTTATCAAGGGGTCAGAATATTTTCTCGATAGCGAACACACTGCCCAATTTTTTTTTTTTTTCAATTCCTGGATAAGTCTTCTCCAGCACTTACAGCCAGGAAACTTTGAAGCTTGTAAATACATTCTCCCTGCCCTTCCTATAGTGCCTCTATCCAATGTTGGCATTGAGGTCATCACCTTTTACACGAGACTACACCTTTCATGAGGTTTCATGATGAAAGATTTACATTTAACTGGTACAGAATTTTGGTAAAGTCTCAATTAAATATCATTTATCAGGCTCACTAACATTACTGTTCTCTTGACTTTCTATAGGAGAATGAAGCTGAAAAAAAAAGTAATAAAAGAATTAAATAAACATATGCTGCAACATTCTATTAAGTTTTTCAAGACAATATCAATACATACTATTTGAAATCTTACTAGACACCTAGTAACTATGTGAAATCTCTCCAAAAATCCTTGGTAAAGATTTAGAACAAAAAACGGGGTTGTCTTGCCTAAATCAATACATACTATTTGAAATCTTACTAGACACCTAGTAACTATGTGAAATCTCTCCAAAAATCCTTGGTAAAGATTTAGAACAAAAAACGGGGTTGTCTTGCCTAAATCTTTCTGTTCATACCAAGTGCTTATTAGTAAAAGAAATATTGTCAATTCTCTTACCTCACCTAAGATCAAAGTGAATTACCTAAGCTAATGACAAAACAATTTATAATAAAAGGTTATTTGAGTCCATATAGGCATATTACGCGTAGTAACAAATACATACTGTTTTAGCAATATGTGTCCATTCCAGTGCTTTGTGAATCTTATCATTAATACTTGGTTCTGCATCAAGGTTCCAATACGTAAACTGCTCAAATTTATGGGACACCTTCAGGTGCCGCTCTTCTTCTTCACTGTAAGGTCGGTGCAGTTCCTTTAAGAGTAACCCTAGGCAACAATAAAAGATAGTGTATTCAAATAACTTGTTTAATCTAATTCGTGAATGGCATTTGTTTACACATGTATTTGACAACTTTCTTAGAATGTGTTAATCAGTGTCAGATAACTATTAATGATAAATAATTTTTGTTGCACTTATCATGCACAAAGAAAGCACAAATAATCATGCTTAGAACTCATTTACATTTTCATAAAAAGTACATGTACATAAAACGTAAATAAAATTGCTAAAGCTTTAAGTTTTATGCCAGCTCAAAGAGAGTTACCAATACACTTGTGACCTGTAGGAGTCAAAAATTTTCTGTTTATCGTACCACAAGGGTAAATGCTGGGGGTACAAATGGTTTTACCCCCCCCCCCAGCTGACACTTTCACAGCCACAATTCACAGTTACAAAATAAGGAGACGTACCAGAAAAACTTCTCTGACCCAGAAAAAATTTTTAAGGTACAAAAATAAGCAGTTTGAAATTCACTTTGTTAGGTTAACAGAATATAATTCCCATCTGAACTTAATAGCCTTACATTTAGTTACCTGTGTATCCATCTGGTAGTTGCATTTCTTTTCCACTTAGAGGTCTTCCCCTGAATGTTGCAGACAGCACTTAAACATAAAAAGATGATCATTAGGACTAGCCAACCAGCTGCTCTTTAAAAAGAGAAGCAGTAGAAAAGAAAAAAGTTACATTAATATAAATATCACTATTCATTTGAGAAGAAGCGACACTGCGCAAAGTCATCACATCACTTGAAAAAAGAATCGGGTGGGTTGACGATTATGCAAAACATTTTGAAGTCAAAAAGCAAAGACCCGTCTTCCTCCTAACCCTCTACCTACATGTACCTGTATGTGAAATTTATGTCATCGTAGTGGCAGTAGTAGTACGTAGTAGTTGTTGTAGTAAAACTACGTACATTGTACAAACTGTAGTACGCTGGCGAGCCTACAGTATAACTCACCAGTTCCTTGGTCATGTCGTACAGATGTATCAAAATAGTCAGCAACTTTTGCAGGGCCGTTGTAATCTATTTCACATGGCATCAAATGACATGCTTTTGTCGTTCGTGCTTGGGACGCAGAGTTTTTGTCCACATGAATCAGCGACATTGCGATTAGCAACTTCCCGCTATTTACATGTATGTAAAAAGCGTTATTATTGGACTATTAACGCAGGGAAAGGACTTCGGCACCCAATCAAGTGTGAGCTACGAACTTAGGTATATACATAAACGAAATGGATCTTCCGAGATTAAAGAGTCGGACCCTCGACTGTGGGCAGGAGACACATCCCTGGTCTGTGGTGAAACATGGTTCGCGTGGCGATTATCTCGAGTGCTAGAAGATACGTTTTGCACAGCGGCATTAAGTTACATAGAAGTACTTACGTGCGGTTACATGAAACATGCAGAAAACAGGACTGCAGCCGTTTCCACACACAAACTATAAATTATGCCCAAATTAAAAGATACAAGAAAAAAGAGCCTGTTAATCAAGATCGCTTTTTCAGATGGCAAGATCTTTTAAGCTTCATGTTTAAATGGAATGTATTGATTTTACTTGTGTATTTACTGCATTTACAACAGCAGAATGAAAATAAAAAAAATCAAGCAAAAGGTAAGAATCATGATTATCTGAAATTGTAACTTAGTATTTTTAAAATTCGTTTATGAAATTAATTACAGTCACACTTAAATATTAAATTAATTATACTGTTGAGTCATGGTTTCATGTTGATTTTTGTCTAAATTTTGTACAAATGATTTTTAAAAGGGATTGCAACTTTTTATGAGATTCAAAATTTCCCAATAAATAAATTGTAAACAAAAACATAAAAATATGATAAATTGCATTTTACCACCAAAACAGCAGTTACTATAATAGTAAAATCCGGATATTGCCAGGACATACGGATATTGATTGCTGCCCTCCAAAGTAATCTCTTAAAAGATTATAATTAAAAACATACTCTTTAAAAAAATCCATATCTATTAACTTTGAATGTTGGAATAAATTCATAAACCATCAGTAAGAATGGGGAAATTGCCCTATACATAAAAGGAATATTTGATATATGGCACATTTCCTGCCAAATTGAAGAGTTGTCATCCCTTTAAGTTTTCAAACACCAGCCAGTTTGAGATTGTACAATGCATTCTCACTTGTGGCAGACATTTTCCTACTGTTGTTATTGCATGGAAACATTTTATTTACAGCTGGAAAGACAGATACAGCAACAAACAATACAGTAGAAGGAAAAACAACCCAGGCCCCAAAAAGCTGAGATTACTGTTCAAAATGACTTAAATAGTGGTATTTTGACATGAGAACAATTTACAAACCGTTTTACACAAACTCGGATATAGTCCCCCAAAAATTGCATTTTTCAACAATTTTTCTTCACCTGACTTTAAGTGAATGAATGGTTATGTGTATTTTCTGCTATTTCACCTAACATAAAATGCAGTTTGTTGGGGGATGGGGATAGTGGGATGGTATTTCCTTTAATAAGTGCAGGCTTCGTAAAAGGAAAATGGAAAGTTAAGACAATGCAAACATATACTGTATCCTGTCTTTAGTCCTAAACCATTCAAAGCAGACTTGGCTGTTAGCTCAAGAACCTACTTAAATTGGGTGTGAAGAGAAGTTTTTATCTCTAACACATTTTAACAGTATAACTGAAGACTTTTCAAAGGTCAAGGTCATCAGCAGGCAAATTTGGCTAGGAGTGCATGATCAAGGATATGCACACAGTAAACAAGAGGTTAGCATTCCTGGAAAGCTGTCAAAAAAAGGGGACTTAACTGGAGTGAACTGAAAATGTCTAATATGTTGCGTCTGCATGTCAGTCACAATAATATTAATGTCTCAGGTATCGTACTTTTCTAATTCAGGCAAAGAATGTCGGAATGTTGTGAATTTGTTGCCATTTGATCGAGAGAGCAACTAATATCTAGCATTAGAATATACTTGACTTTAATGTTGGTTTAAAGTTACTCTCTTCAAAGTGTGCAATTATCCAATTTCCCAATTTAATGAATGCAAAAAATGTCTGACATAATCTTAAAATGCCTGAAATAGAGTCATATTATATCAGACATGATATCTGGCTGGTGTCCAATGTTTTTAGAATTATATGATCAAAGCATGTTTTTTGAGAGTGAATATTTATTTCAATCTCAAGCACCCACTGATAAAGTTGTGATTAAATATGTTCTGTCATATCTTACAGATTTTTGTTGTCTATGATGTTACATATTACAAATGACATAACTCATATAACACAATTCCATTTGATGATACTTTAAATTAATGTATCATAAACATGAATAGTTATGTTTCTAATATTAAATTATTAAAGAGGCAATGAACATTTATTACAAGCCTCTATAAGCACTATAGGACTTTTTTTGTTCCATAATTTTAAAAGTGGTGACAAGTACTTAATAATACAGTTCATTCCAATTTACAGTTGAAAAGAAAGGATGTTCTTTTACTTCTTCAATGCCATTAATACCCGAGCCTAGTCTTTCACTGGGATTATACCTAAGAAGCTGAAAAGAAAAAAAAAGGAACACACTAAATTATGCAGATCTATAAAATAAAATTATGAAATGGGATTGCAGCTCAAATATCCATAACTCCAGGGTTCATAGTTTAAATCTTACAACAAATATTGAATGCAGGACAAGAGTTCCTTTCTAGGCCTAACTGAAGAAAATATTTAAATGCTCTTCATTTACTTTAGCCAAATTATGCTGAAATTGCAATTGACAAATATTGCCAGATATCAGCGTAAGGCTGACATAAAACAGTTAACTGAAGAGAATTTGAAATCTCACCTCATTTAACAGTGACTGTGCCTCATTTGACAAAGGGCATGGAAAATGCAGAGCTGTGTGGGTATTAATTCCACTAGGATGACAAGACAGCAAAGACTGAAACAAAAGTAAAACAATGAATATATGACCATAAACCTGCTATTATTTACGACCATGTATACATATTTCACAATACACATGGTAAGTCCTAGCTTTAATTAAATAAAATACAGATTATGCACAGTAAGTCCCAAAGATATTACAAATTTATGTCATATGCATTTCCAATCTCTATTACTGTAGTAAAGCTAGTTAAAGCTAATATATGTACAGAAAACCTTTATCATATAAATATTCATCAGATGCTAAAAACAAAAGTCCCAGGTGTGGTGTAGCTTGCATTTATGTGTGATGTGCATGTGTGGCAGGTCTGCCACATCTGAATCTTTTGTTCTTCATATCCACCATGGCATAAGAGACATAGCACATCTAATGTTGAAAGACTTTGACCATATATATTAACCCGTGACAATGGAAACACCTGTCCAATGAAAGTGCACCACTTGACCTCAAAATTGAGCAGGTTCAAATAAAAAACAAACACCCAAATATGAGGGCATAGTGGTTAGAGATGGATCTTAATGGCCAATGAGGAGTAACAGAATTAAGGTTCTGTGTTTGGCAAAATATGACAGACATGGCGATTCCTCAAGCAAAACTGAGGTACTTTGAGAGGAAAGGCTGGTGGACGCGCCGTGGCACAATTATTACTGGAAAACTGCAGCAAATGATAAAGCATTAAAATGTGATAATTGGCACCGGTTTGGTTTACCTGACCAGTAAGCATCTCAAACAGCAATGCACCAACGCTCCACCAATCTGCAGATTTTGTTGGATCCATCACCTGCCTTATTTCTAAAATTACAAAAGAATTTGCTCATTTGTATGACATCCATTTAATCAGTATTTAAATGAACAATCAGAAAATTGATGTAAAAGAACAAGGAGATGAAAAAGTACAAAGAAAACCATGAATGTCTTACAATTCTACATATAAACCTTTTTGCATGCAATACTTATATGACTTTCACTGATCTTGTCAAAGAATGCAAGTTGCTTGTATGAATTTATGTTAAGTGTCAATTATTTCCTGGTCAAATCACAAACTGTGTATGTTATTTCTAGAGTTAACAAGGGCAAGTTGGGCTAAAGTAAAGGTATCAATAAAAAACATCTGAAGACTAACCTGGTGCTGAATACAGCTGATCTATTGCATCAAAGTTGGGTGCCTTTTCTACTGTGTTCCACTGGCTGAAGTAGGACAGCATAATATGGCCTCTTTCACCAAGCAGAATATTGGCTGGGTTGAGATCTCTGGAATTATAAATGCATTACTTGATTTTACTTCCTGAGATTTTATTGTAATATATTTAGATATTTCTCGAGTGACTACTGATCATAGACAAAAGTTCAATAATCAACATTACATTTGCTCTCCAGTCTGAGTCATCAAGCGCGAGTATATTTTTCTTATCAGCATCATTAGTGCATGAAATTTAATTTTATCAAAAATGAAATTTATAACTAATCTTTTACTTTCAGAAATATCTGTGTAACTTCAACTTATCAATTTTAACATCTTTCATGTACAGCAACAATTTGGTGTATGTATTTCTTATATCTAAAACTTTATTACAAAACAGTATCGTTAACAGTATAATAATGTTAAGTTTCCAAGCAAAAAAACTAGGAAGCCTGAGAACATATATTTGCTATTCACTTACTTGCAGATTATCCCCATGCCATGAAGTTTATCCAAGGCCACTATAATCTCAGCAGCCCAACGTCTTACACAGGTCTCTGGTAGACGGCACTTACTGGCCCTCTCCTCAGCAGCCAGGTCCAGCTGGCTGAACACAGCAGACAGCATCCTTTGCCTTGGTTTAGAAGGTGTCTCAAGACTCCTTTCTATAGATGTCTGTCTGTTGGTTTGAATACTAAAGACAGTATCTTTTGACGATGGGACAGATGTTCTCCTTACTGCACCCAGTTGGCAAGCATCGGGCATGTTTGAGTTACTTGCAACATTTGCATTTTTGCCATTTTCTGTTAGTTGTAATTTGTCCTCAGTATCAGGGCAACACCCATTTTCATCAACTGTAAGACCAGCTATTAATTCGGGATCATTTGCCATAGTGGAAACCTTTGGGATTTGTTCTCTGGTCTGGTGCTGATTTCTAGGATTTTGATCCTGTGTCATCAGATGAGCTACTTCTTTGTCAGTTTCACTTAAAGTTATTTCAACAGATTCCAGTAACTGTTTGGCACTATTAACTAGATCCTTGTGTTCTTGTGAACTATCCATTTCTCCAGTCTCATTTTTCTGTCTTCCAATTTTAGGGGAAGATCCAGCCTCTGGAGTGCCAAGATTAGCTAGCAAAGATGCATTACTACCAGAATAGCTATCCTCAAATTTCATGGTGCTACCACTGCTGAACATATCCTCATGGTCAGTCTCGAATTCCCTTTTCAAGTTTTCTAAGTCGGAATCATCAATGCTATATGTAGACGAATGTGTGGGTGAATTTTCAGTAACTTCCATAATGCCTTGGATGTGGTCTGACATACTGCTGCCAAGCCTGATGCGATCGCTGCTATCAATGCTGTTGATGCTGAAAACTTCTAACGAGGGTTGAGCTTGTTCCAAAACATCTTGAAATGCATGTGGTTCTTTCGGTGTCTGTTCAAACACATCATCCCTTGCTGGGGAGTCCTCTTTTTCACTCTGGTCATCTAGAGATGAAAGACTGAGATAATTTGGTTTCTTTTTCTCTTCCCTGTCATCTGGATCATGTGGTTTGTGATACGTCACCCTGTTAGGACTGTCCTTAGAAAATTTTACACTGGGATCTATATCTTGCTTCATACTTTTAGCATAGTCTGAAAAAAGTTCAATGTAGCTACTGGAACATTCAGGTTCTCCTATCACTCCAGACAAGTTCTGTTCTTGTCTCTGCACTATATCATATCCTTCAGTTTCCACAAGCTTCTGGCCTGTGTATGCATTAGATTGTCTCAAGTTAGGAGTATTTTCACCAGTTTTATCCACATCTGCCCCTTGTCTGTTATGGCTGTGCAAATATCCACTGATATATGACCAGAGTTTTCCACCACTGGCGTACTGTAGTAGTAAGTAAATAGCCGAACTAGTCTCATAAAACTTGTAAAACTGCACCATATATGGACAATGGGTGGGTATAATGTTTTGAACACCAAGTTGTGGGAAAGTGTTCTTGTACAGCACCTGAAGCCAAACAAAAATTACCCTTAACAAAAAATATACAAATGCACAACCACTTTTCTTGTAACCTTATACATATGTACAACGTGCAATTATGAAATACACATTCTATTTTCATTTATCAAGTTCACATGTAGTCATAAATGTGGATGTTGTGTACAAAATTATATACCCAAAACTGCAACTGAATGTTAATACTCACCTTAATTACATATGTTTGATCAGTTTGTTTATCCATTACCAGCATGGTTTTATCAATGACCCCTAGCACACTATAGTTCTGAAGTTCCGAGATAGGACATTGCAGGTATGCTATACTGGGATCTACTTCAACAGTTGGGGATATTTTGCTGTCACTCTGAAATTTTTTCAAAACATGTTCATGTAAATATATGCATGATAAAATGTGATGTGAAATACCCATCCCAATCCTCATTTATCAGTCCAAGAAACCTCCAGCATTACCATAAGGTTCCTAAAACATTCAAAATGTGTATTCAAAATGTGTTCTTCCAATATTTGGATGCAGGGCAATATTTCAAATGTAATTATGACTGAAAGCTTTCTAAAAATGCTACATACCTTCCTAGAGAATAATCTCAAAAGTGACTGCATGGAAAGGGTAAATGCATTTGTATAATGTAATATTAATAGTACATTCCCTTTACATATAAGGTATTTATACATATAAACTACTTCCCTAGTATACTTGAAAAAAATAGTAATTTTCAAAATACCATAAAAATGACAAAAATAGACATAAAATTCTTTAATGAAACAAACTGATTACTACACAAAAGATCTTAAAAACTCAAATTCTGCACTGACACACAATTTTCCCTATTTTGCATGAAATATCTGTTGTTTGAAAAATGAAGGTACAAAACAAAAAAAAAATTGAGATAAAAATATTTTTAGCGAGGAAGACTAAAATCGTGCAAAAAGTAATTTAAATAAAAAGAAACATAAACCGAAAGACATGCCATCCATTTATTTCTATGAATGTGCAATAGTTTAACTTAAGCCACCAACATATTATATATATATATATATATATATATATATATATATATATATATATATATATATAAAGCAGACATATGAGGCAATAGCATGGCATGCAGTCTACATCAATAAGATAAATGATTATCTAGCATCTATGCTATTCTTCCCTTACAAAATCTACAACCATTTCTTATAATAATACATGCATTTAATCCTTATGGTCTATGAAACTAATGTATTATGCCTTTAACAACAGAGCCATAATATCCTAACAGGTTTATGCCCTTGGTAATAAGCCCCAATATTATGAAAGCGACAAAGTGTAAGATTTTAAACATGCAAGGACATAAAACAATTCTCCTTTTTGTTGAACTTATCAGAAGACAAGTAACACTTTTTGAAGATTTTAACAGATATTTGCCATGAATTACAGTAATTACTCGATCTTTTCAATGGGCCAAAATGATCAAACTTTTAGATAGATAATTTTATAATTAAGTATGAGTTTTAAAATTTCATACTTAATAAATTTTCCTGGAGAAAAATTATTTTCTCCAACAAACCAACCTCTGATCCTCCTCACTTGACACTCAGCATAGCTCTGTAACAATCTGTGAAAAAGTTTCTTTCAAATTCCACCATCACTTGAGCTGAATTTTCACACAGACCTCTAGCTTGTGCAAGATTCAAAATTGTGTTAAGATGGTTGCAGGTTCGTCAGGTGGTGTATTTAATTATTTTTGGTGACAATTATCTGTTAACATTTGATTGAAAGGTATTACTTGTCCTCAGATAAGTTCAACAAGAATTGGTTTATGTATACAATGTGTGTTTAAAATCCTACACTTTAAGTCTTGGACTTACAAACAAATGATATTAAGACCACATTTAGATTCACAAATGGCATTAGCTGGGTCAGCCCAACTCTACAGGGGGTTCTTGCCTAAGTGCAATCAGTAGAACAAGCTTAATTGTCTAACACCCCATTTCCATAGATTTTAGATCGATTTATCCCTGTGGGGAGTCTCACTAGATTACTGTCAGCTTAGCCGGCTTAAGCATCTGTCCCAACTACTGAAAGCTGTAAGGGGGTAATTAACTATGACTGACTGCAATTTAGCATGAACCCCCAGGGAGTTGGGTCGATCTAAATCTTAATCTCTGGATCAATCTAAATCTCTGGAAATACACCCTAACACACCGAGCAGCTATGAGGATATTAACTATTGGGTGCTAATTTAGCTGATTCCACTGATCGCACTTTAGCGAGTTTGGCTGATTCAGCTAGTACAATGTGTGAATCTGAATGTGCCCTACCATCACCCTCTCTAAACATAACCTGCCCACAACTGTACACATATTCTCCATCTACTTACCATACTAGAGCACAAAAAGAGCACACTACATTATATACGTACCCCCCATCTTTTTTGATCTTCTTTTTTGTCAGCCAGTTGTCTGTTGTACAAATCCTCTGCTTTCAGTAAATACTGGGCAGTTTTTCTTCTTACTGCTTCACGTCTTGACTTATTACTATCCCCTTATAAATTTAAAATATATACATGTTATATTACAAAAACTAAGTCCAAAGTGACAACTTTACAACGTATTTTAATATATTTTCATTTTCTTAAGCTAAAGGCAATCAATATTCAGCATTTGGTGAAAATGTTACATGCTAGTTAAAGCACAGAAACTAACTACACAATATACTTGTAATTCCATAAAGACCTATTAATAATTTTATCCATGATTTGCAGGAAACCATCTTAAATATCCAAGGAACTTTTTTCATTTCGTTTTATTTTTCAAAACATTATTTCTGTAACAATAAATGCACATTAACACTTGGTTCTGCAGTACTGTAAAAACTTCAAAAGTAAAATGACAATGATACACAATACAGAATGTTTATACCTTACCCTGCACTCCTTTAAGTAGTACACTAACACCATTCTTGTAGTAACCAAAAGCTACCTCAAAGTTCCCATTGGCTTCACATTGCTGTGCAAGGCTGATCTGATTTGCTGCCTGGTAAATGTAATCCTGCTGCCCACCTAGATCCATTGTAGTCACACTCTCTGCTGTGTGAGATCGTATTCTGTTAGCAATACTTGTAATTTCTGAACTTAAACTTTTACTGGTCTTATCTTGTCCAGCCCTGCTTTGTTGGGCATCAGGTACATCTGGGTGTTGTGCAAAGCTCAATTCCAAGTCGCCTTTACCACACTCAACTCTTGATTCTGACTGTGAGCCTAGTGGATCAAACTGACCCAAGGTAGAATCACTATCTCTATTGAGCACCAAATCAGCACCATCAACACTATCTGCCTCAGCACCAACCAATTCAGGGACTTCTGTCCCTGAAGTATCTGAAGACACAACACCAAAGTTATCTGGTATCTGAGCATCAAAAACGTCATTACTAGCAGGTGATTCTGTAGTTTGTGTATGTTCTTGGCTGCTATCCAACTCTGCACATGCTGTCATGGCTGACAGTAACCAAGCATTACTATGACCCTGGTGATCCTGTTGGTCTTCTGAGTTTGGAACATTCATCAAGGGATCAAAAAATGAAATATCTGTGTCAGGAAGAGGAGTATTAAGTGCTGAGTCATCAGTAAAATCAGTATCTTCATTGTCATCTGAGTTAAAATTGAGGTCTTCATCAACTGCTGGAAATTTCCAAACACCCCCAAGAGTTCCTAGTAGCTCTCTGTCAAAATAGCAAAAAATGTTATCATAAAATAATTCTTCAATCTGAACAGAATATAACACTAATCTAAATTCTTCACATGTAAAAATAAGTTTTGCCAGCCTTATAAAGGTATATTGAATCTTTTCTTATGAAGTAGCTGGTATATGCATTCCAAATTCAGCCACTCGACAACAAAATTACCTGCTACTAATTAAACTGGAGGATATACTGGATGCAGTACTAGCAGACAGTTCATCTATATCCTCCTGCTGTTGCACCAAAGTGTTATCCTCATCTGGGTGGGTTTTTGTAGGTTTCAATGGGGAGTCTGGCAGAGCAGTCACTTCTCTATTTAACTTGCTTTTTTCACCACCCTTAAAATGTATGCAACAGTAAAAGTCAGGTTTTATTTGACAACAAAAGTAAATATTCTGTTTTAAGTGAAATACATTCATATTCAAAGGGATGTAGATGTACATAGAATATTTGTCTTGAATATTCATATTGCTTATATTGTATACATGTACCCTAAAGGGATATAACAGCCTAAAGAATGATGAAATTTATCATACATGTTCATAATTTGCATCAGTTCATTCTATCTTAGCCAAGTGAAACAAAATGTAGTCTTGGAGGCAATTTTTAAAATGGTTGATTGAGACACTCTTATGAATTTCAGGATTCCAGTTGATTGTATTTTTTACACAATAATTTCCATTGAGTGTTTCTCCATTCAGTAGTGTGCATCTGTGTTTTGATATTACCTCAAAGAAACTTTGGAAAAGATTAGACATAAATAAGTGGTCTTGGCTTCCAGCAAAATTAAGAAGGTTTTCAGCACACTGTCTTCTTTCTTCAATAACATTTTCTTCAAATCTACCTTTAAAACCAAAGAAACATATTCATTTGTATTTATAATGCCAACTGCTGGCATACATTGTAACTAAGCATTATTTTAAATCTTGTGCACAAAAAAGTCTGAATAAAAGAGACTATTTATAGAAAATATCACTTTGGAATTGATTAAAGCACTATTTAGACTTCCAAATTATTCCAAAAGCATATTTTAAACCTACCAAATAATTTAGCTTTTGCAAATGGTGGAAATTCTGCCCGTCTGTGTAATGCCTTGTGTAATTTTAACAAAGACTGATACAGTTTTTTGAAATCATTGTATCTTCTCCACACCACCACTTCTGTTATCACTTCTGGGCGATCAATTGGAAAAACCTAAAGAAATGGGTACATATTATTATAGAGTATTATAGAATATGAATGTCAGAGAGAAAACTTCTACTAGACAATCTATAACCGAACTCCAAAAGTGAAGTGTGTGTAGCAAACCTGCCCCTACAAGGGGGGGGGGCGGGGGGGGGAAGGG